TTTCTTATTTTTATTTATTATCTTTCTTTTTTTTACTTATTTATGTATTTTCTTTGATTTTTTATCCTTGAGACTAGAGTAGCATGCAATTATAATATTGATTATGTAAAAATTGACATTATGAAGTGAAAACATTCATTTTTCTTAGCATGTTATACTTTATAGTATCTATGGGCTTTTTTTGGTCTAAGAGAGTTTAATAGATTAGATTTCACGATATTATGTAGTAACACAACTATTAGCTAAAAGAAAAAAAAAAAATATATTATAGAAGTGCCTAAGTAAAAAGATATAATAAAAAAATATAAATAAAAGATAGGCAGGTAGTAAAATCTTTTAATATTAAATTTTCTTTTTAAAAAAATATATTCTAGTTATTTTTTATGGCCATAAATAAAATAAAAGAAGGTAGATTAGAAAAATAAAGAATATAGATATATGTGGAAAAATATTAGGAATTGACTTTAGCAAAAATATTTTTAAGAAAAAAAGAATTGATATTTAGAGAAGACCAATTACCAACTTAGATTGAAATAAAATACTAAGATACAAAATTGAGCACCTATATGATTTACAAGGTTTTTTGAAAAATAAAAGATAGAAATTTAAAAACAAAGTAGATTAAGATTTTTTTTAAGTATTAATTTTGAGAGATTTGAATTTTTAATGACTTTATAAGAGCTTGGCAAAATTAAGGTTGTTTAGGATGACTGTGGATTTTATGAAATAAAATAAGATTGATATTTTTAATAATTTTTTGAATTTAATAATAGATCTATAAGTAAAAAAATTTGAGTTTTTAAGTATAAATATATTTAATTTATATTATAAATTTGAGCTTAATCAAATGGTGAGATTGAAGGTTATTGAAGTTCAAATGAGTTGAGATTTTTAAAATTGGAGTTTAAAAGTTATTGAAATTTTCTAAGATCTTCAGCAATATATCAATTGGATTGAAGTGAAAATTATTTTATGAATAACAAGTTTGATTTCCAAAAAAATTGTGAATTTTAAGAGCAATTCAATGGTTTAAAAAGGATTATTGGCGTTGAAATCTTGGCATTAAGGTTGAAAAAAGAGGCCACCTAACATCCGAATGGACTACCTTACATTTCTTTCAATTAGTAAGTGTAATTGATCTTATTTTTCTTGTATTTGTTTTCAACTAAGTTGTTAAAAATTATACAAATTTTAAGTCAATATCAATAATTTAATCTTAAATTATTGAAATTTTAATTTATTATAGAATTAATTAAAAAATTGATTATGATTAAAGATTTGATTAAGATTTGATTAAGATTTGGTTAAGGTTTCATTAAAATTTGATCTAAATTTGATTAGAATTTAGAAGTTGATTAGAATTTGATTAGTATTTAATTAGTATTTGATTAAAATTTAATTAGAATTTCATTAGAATTTTATAAAAATTTTATTAATATTTGATTTTAAAATTAATTAGAATTTATTTAAGAATTTATTAAGATTTGGTTTAATCTTAGGTTAAGATTGGTTTAGAACTTTTTGAAGAATCTATTAGGATTTGATTAAATTTCAACTAGGATTTTTATTTTTAATATTTTTTAAAATTTTCTTTGATATTTCTTAAAAATTTCTATATTATATATATTTTTCAAATATTTAATTAATTTATAATTTATTTATGGTTTTTTTATAATTTCTTTAAGATTCTTTTGAAATTAAATTAAATATTAATTAGTATTATTATAATTTAATTAGAATTTATTTAGGATTCTATTGAAATTATTAAGATGTCAAAAAATAAATTTCAAAGAAAGAAAAATTCAATATATTCTTGTGTTACTCAAAAAGATTAAAAAATCATTTAAAGATGATAATATATTGATTTAGAATGGCTATTGTCCAAGATAAGAAAACTAGAAAGTCTTGAAATAAGATTAAAAATTAAAAAGGCATTGACATAAGTAAAAAAAGCTTCACTCTTGTATCCATATATATTATTTAATTAGGAACTTTGTGGCGATGATCTATAGGAAATTCAACACGTGTTGACTTTATAAGACACATGTTTTAACTTGCAAGGCAAGTTTTTTATATATATGCCACATAGTTGGCTTATTCTATATTGAATTGTAGTTGTCAAAAAAAACTTAGTTGTTTCTTCACCTATAATAGATTTTGTACATGATACAAAATATACCATCTTGATAAAATAAACTACTATCACAAATAAAAAATCATACAAATCTGAGACTAAAAGATCCATAATAAAATCCATAGAAATAGAAAACTATGATTGTTCTAAAATAGGTAATAGCTAAAAAAGTGTATAAGGTCAATGATGATAAGTTTTTGATCTTGAACAAATATTACATGATTGTATAAAGTCTTTAATTTCCTTTTATATTTGAAGCTATTAAAAATCTTTCAATATGAGCTCCAAAGTCTTATAGTATCCAAAATATCTAGTTGCTGAAAAATTATAACAAACTTGAAGAACTCATAATCATGCTTTTTCTTCTAGAATATATAATTATCTCTTAAAATAGAGTAGATTATTCTTAAACTTGAACTTGAACTTGGAAGTATCATGAAACTTAAAAGAATTATTTTTAATATCATAAACAAGAGAATCAAAAGACATACTTGATTGAATTTTCTTGAGAAAGGTTGAATCAATATTCAATGCTGATTTTATTGCTAAAAGGTGAAAATACTTTGAATTCAAGAAAATCATTTTATATTAATCAAAAACTTCATTTTTTATTTTTTTATTTATTTTTTGTGCAAGATAAGAATATCTAGAAAGAATGTTTAATAAACATTATTTTTTAAGTCAATAAGTGATCTCAAAATCAAATCTTGATAAAGATATGCTCCAATGGACTTGGCAATAATTCAAAAAACGTGCCAACATGAAATACTTGAAGTTCTTGTGATCTGTATATATTTTGATTAGATTTGAGGTGCCTTTTAGATAATGACTCTATTTTTAAAATGTATCTATGATGGCAAGATTTTTTATAATATAATAATTTCTTCATCTTTTTCATTTATTAGTAATGTTACATTATAACAACGTAGACTTTGAACTTCTTCCATAGAAATAAGAGTAGTGTTTCTATGGTTGGCATTGGTGATGCATGAAATTTCTACCCTAAGAGTATTGACAAATATGTAAAGATTTGCAATAGTTTTAAATCTATTCTCACTTCTACCAAGTATAGTATATATAATTTTTTCTTCTATTTCAAATAACTTAACAAATCCACAAGTCAAATTAGAGGAGGATAATCTGCAAACTCTAATATCAAATGAAAATTTCTACAAAAAAACATAATCTGCTCTCTTTAAGGAAAAAAATAAATATTTAAAAACTATTTTTTAAAAAAAAATAGATAATTTACAATCTTCAAAATATAACAGTAGAAGTAATATAATCCACTCACTTCTAAAACAAGACAAGAACAATAAATTAATTCTCTTCTCAAATTATCAAGGACATGAAGTTTTAAAAAAGAAATCCTTAATATACTCTTGTGTTACTTAAAAAGACTAGAAAATCATCTAAAGATGGTAATATATTAAATTAAAATGGCTATTGCTAAAGACAAGAATACTAGAAAGTCTTGAAACAAGACTAAGGACTAAAAAGGCATTGATAAGAGTGAAAAAAGGTTCATTCTTTCTACCATATATATTCTCTAACTAAGAGCTATGTGGCAATATTCTATAGGATCTCTAATACATGTTGATTTTTTTAGATACATGACTTAATTTGCAAGGTAAGTTAATTATATGTATATTATATAATTAGCTTGTTCCACAAGCTACTAACACATATGTTATGTGGCTAATTTATTGACAAAATTTTTAGCCTACCAATTAACTACAAATACATGTAAAGTCAAAGCTATATTTATGAAGCTTCTAAGAAGCTTTTCTATAAGAAATTAGGTATTAGATGTCTATTTTTATTTACTTCTACTTAATCATGTAGATAATTATTTGAGTAAATATGTATGTTTGTGACAACAACTTATCTAAGAGAGTTCATATTATAACAATAAAGAATAGATAGTCTAAAAGGATGACTTATTTTTTTTATAAGCAAATTCATTATCTAACATAGGATCTTAATGAGTTTCAATAAAAGAAGAGAAGAAGTGTCTTTTATAAAATACTTAGCTTGCTTTGGCTACTCTATACTCAAAAATTGACATGTCATTCACAGCGTATTCACTCACAAATGAAAAGGTATTCTACCACCATTATTTAGGTTGAATTGAGAAAACATGTAGTACACTCAGAAGAAGCAAAAAGAAATTGGGTTGATTTGATTAACTTAACATAAAGCAATTACAGTTAACTTGTGTCAAGGAAGAATTTATAACGAGATTGATCAAAGTTGCCTAATTTGTGTGATTGGAATAAGAAAGTTAGTGCTCCATTGATTTTGAGAGTATTGAGCAATGACAAGATGGTAGAGGTAGAGAGTACACATCTTCCACCTTCTCATTCCAAATTCAACAAGAAGAGGGGCATCCAAACTAAGGACCTAAGATAATGTGAATTATACTATCTGACAAGATGAATGCCAGAAGATAATATCTGAATAGATTATCTACAAGAATTAAGACTCACAATATTCATTCTTTTGTGGATTCATTATATCTTTGTATATTGTATCCTCAAAAGATTTAAGCAAGTTAATCAAGCCTACCTTATGCTTCGTAGAGTAGCGATGTAGGTGCATTAGGTAGAAAAAAACAATCGAACATTTAACAAGCCCTTATGGTTCCAAGAACAAGTATACTACACAATATGGCTGAAATTAATTGATTACGAAAGGAATTTTTTGATCAAAATACAATCCTGCATAAACCATAGTCACATTCAAGATGCAAAATATTCTTAGTTTTTCTATCAATAATGGTGTGCAAATAGAACCTTGGCAACATAAGTAGATAACAAATCCAAATAGAAATTATCACAACCAATTAGTATCTTTGTCAATAGTATATAGGTAAATATCTAATAACCTTGATTGGACTTGGTTGGGATTTGCAACTTTCAAATTATATGCAATAGAGATGTAACTCTATTTGTGTCAAAAAATATAAAATAAAATCAAATAAAAATGAAGTGTAAAGATGTGAATTTCCAGATGTGCTTGGATATGGGCTCTGCAGTAAATACAAACATTCTACATTACTTTTAAAACATTTTAAATATCAAATAGCATGTCACGTAGCTGAGAAAAACCTAAGTTTAGATCCACGTTATTGTTCTCGAGATACCTTCTTCAACATGCTTTCCTAAGGAGCATTTCCCCAAGAGATTGTCATGGGCCTCCAGCAGTATCGCCTCATTAAATGCCTGTATCGAGGAAGCCAAAAACTTCCCATAAATGTACTGGTAATATAATCTACATAGAGCGCATAAAATTTTCAAATTAGAAGAAAAGAGAGCAAATAAAACTGATAACTAAGCTTAGCATAACTAGAATAAGCCACAAACAGTAGCTAAAATTGCAAGATGCAGCAAGAACTATGTGAGCATGGCTGTAATTCACCAGGTTGAATGTGTCCTTGTAACCAACATCTAGACCCGGGTTCTAGTGAGCGGCATCGCAGAGTACTTGAAACAGATGATTCACTGACATAACATGGAAGCTGATCATGATGTTCTTTTATACTGAGAAATCACCAAGAACCAATGACAAGACAAGATGCAGAAACCTACAGGCATTACAAGGAAAACAGAAACCATGTAGCGCTGATAATTGCAGTGGAATCACTGGCGGCTATCCGAACTTGCCCAATAATTTCATGACAATCCAAAATGCTTGTAACCAATCAATCTGACAATGGGTCTATTGAACACAAGCAATGCCTAACCAAAATCAAGTTAAGACTCAATGCAATAACGTGGGAGAACGGGACAAGATGTTGTCTATTAACAACTTGGCAAAGGTTGCCGTGGAAGAACAGGGAGAAACTAACCGTAGTCCTCCATTGTACTCATTGCAGAGTTTAAGAAATGAACGTCATTCTGCAAAACAATTGCACAAATGCCGACAAATAAGCAGATTATTGCCGGATACAGGCAGTGAGATCTCGTGATCAATTGCAGCTGTTCAACAAGAGATTGATCGCTCCTATAGCCATGTATTTCGGCCAGAGGAGACTCATCTCCATCGTCCTCGAATTCATATCACTCATGACCTATTACAGTTCATGTAGAATTCTGGAACCGATTCTGTTTTCAGTTTACACTCTATAGGAAATAACAAGATACGAATTGTTGAAATGCTTGTATGGAATGGAAAACGCGTGCACTCCAGAATACAAGAAAATAGACCGCATAAATAGCAAGGGTGAGATTGGATCGACGAAATCATCGACGAGGAGAACATTCTAAGCGCCAATTTAAGATGCAACTTCAATAAATCCCCCCGTCAGAAACTGAAGGGAGAACGGAAAGATCTGGCGCTAGAAATTCTGACATTGGATTATTCGTATTCGAATTCGCTGCGAGATGAAATACGAGTTGTTCACGGATGTTCATGACTATTAATTTAGGATACAAAGAAAACTATAATGCTTGAGAAGCTTCTATTGGTATTAACAACACTACGCGCAAATAGCTTCAATATTGCGGCGACAGCATAAAATCCTTAGCTCTTTTTTTATAAAATTGTTGTTAGTATATTTTTAGGGATAAAGTTACACATAGTTTGGAATCAATGTGCTTCGATTAAATACAAATCATAAACCCAAAACCCAAAGGTCTTGAGACTTATGAACACTAAAACATAAGCATAGATAAATCAAGGCTCCAATTAGCGACAACCAGTAACAGCACAGACATTGAGGGTACACGTGTGGTATAAGGAAGCCTTCTTAAGTTTGTAGAGTGATTTGAACACATTGCAAAACGTCGAGCCAAAATATATCGACTTATTAAGTAACAACTCAAATCTAGCGCCTTCAAATTCCTCAGGCTTCATTCCACATCCGATAAGTGAATCCAATTTCATCTCACAACAAGTGGCTGAACATCCAACACACTATTTACGGAACCTGATGAGATCGCACACCCAAATACACAAGACAAAAATGCTCACATTACGCTCCTGCTAGCTACATGCCACGAAGTTACAAGCAAAGGTAGTAACCCTATTAGATTGTAAGCTTTTTGCAGCAAAAGCAACGGGAATCTTTCACAAATCGCAATGCAGAGCACACTAGAGAAACTCAGTAAATTCGGGGAACTGGATAAAACGCTCATCTCCGATCTCCCAAGCAAAATTCCAACATCCGGCTGTGCGCGCGCATCAATTTGATCACCGTTAAGACATCGCAAAAAATTCCTCTCCCACCGCTGAAGACGATGCAGTTCACAGGTCCGAGACAATGAGCAATGAGCGTGTGAACACGACCCATGCAGAGACGGTTGAGAAACTGGTAGTTACATGGGGGTTAGGGGGATATATATGCTGTATCCTATCCTGGGTGGATAAACTCAATAACGACCAGGGCAGGGTATCAGACGCTTGTGAGAAGAGAGAAGAGCCTGCTGCTGGAGACAGTGCCGCTCTACCTTCAGGCTAGAAGCAGGAATGGATATGGCGCTGCGCCTGGCGCGACCCTGCGCGTCTCCGTCGCTGCGCGGGTGCGTTACTCTTCTTCGTGCTTGTTCTGCATTGCACGCCTTTTTTCATTCTTCTACTCCTCATCAATTTCAAAATCTTTCTTACTCTTATCTCCTTTCTTCGAGTGGTGGAGAGGGCGAGCTTTGTGGATTCGGGTGATGTTGCATTCTTCCTATTCGTGCATTCTACTCAGCTTTAGTTGAGGTTTGAATTATTTTTTAGTTAATTGCAGGATAATTTCTCTTATTTTTTAGATTTCAGTGTAGTGTCTTCGGAAGTGGTGGGATTAGTGTTCAGGACTCGGTGCTTGAGGATAAATGGCTTGTGAATGGAGGGCGTTACGGTTTCCCTCCTAGCTATGACGTTTTTGGATTTACATTCTATTTTTTCGGATGTGAACTGAAATTTTCTAATGACATGGCATCGTGCGGTAAAAATGCTTGCTACTGGTATTTTGCTTGACATGAGTAGTGAATTGAAATGAGTCTGCCAGTAGCATAGACTGGTGTTTTAGAGCTTAGATGTTTTACTCGCAGCCTTTCGCATTTCTAGGTTTACTACTATCTACTCAATTTCAGTAGGATCATTGCAACCGCTCTTTAGAATGAAGTGCATGTATATGACTCTGGTCAGTATCATCAACTGCATTTGCGCATACACATGTACAGGAAGAGTTTTGCCTCGTCGTATTCGAGTGTTCAAAGATATTCATTCCCCTTCTCAGAGAAATTCTTTCCGAGTTGCTTTTGGGATAAGACAAATGTTAAACCGTAATGATGTCTTTTTGCTGAATTCTTGGAGGATATCTTCTTAATTACAGAGAGTTTTTTCATGAATTTCGTCATATGTATCTCACCAATAGTTGAAGTACTTCTCCGTGATTGTACTTGGAAAATCTTTCAGACCAATCATTGTCAATTAGATGTTCTTTTCCTTCCCAAGTAGGATGAAATAAACAAAGAACCGGCTTGATCCCACGGATTGCGCTGACCAATTTCAAGAAATAGAATTTGCTTCAAGGTTAGAAGTATACTGGATTACTCGTTTCTCTAATGTATAACTTGATCACTCTAACCGAGTTGTTATTGTTTTGGATATGTTGACTCAGTGAAAGTTTTCTACTCGAACCTAAAAATGGAAAGCTCCCTTCAAAGCTGCACCTGAGGTCACTAGGGCCTCGATGTGGAAGCTTTGACACTTCAGAAACTGCGACTGCTCATCGGTCGGATTTGCTGAAATCATCTGCTATTTCTCGACGGCAGGCGCTGGTGGCCGGGGTTGCAATTCCATCATTCTTTGTCCTGCAACCTGCCTTGGCTGAGTCATCTGGTACGTTTGGATGATTTGATATAAACATGTACTCACAAATGATTTGAAGAGAGAAATAACAGAGGAGAGTCTCAATAACTGAATCTGCATGACTTGGCTTCAATTAAATCCACTGCCGCGACTGAAGCTTGTTGATATCGTTATTTTAATTTAAACCATTCATTTGTCGAGAAGGTATGTAACGTTGTCGAGGTGCTAAATGTTGGAGTAAAATAAAATTATGGAGTACAGTGTTTAGTCGTTTAATTTGACATTCGAAATTGGGGAATTTCAGCAGCAGTTGATGGGGAGGACAGAGCATTGCAAGTGGACGCAATTAATGCCTATTCCTTCACATATCCTGTATCCATTGGCAAAGGGAAAAACCTTTCCTGGTAAGCGGCTTATGTTAACTTAGTCGGTCTACAAAAACCTGACGGAAGTACATGAGCACTAGGATTTGCAGCGCTTACCAATTACGCCTTCCGCAACGATTGTTCAGTTTTAAAACTTTAAAAAATTGCAATCATTTTCCGAATGATAATACTCATGATCTCGGACATTATGTATTTATCCCATTGTCACATCATGTCACAGGGTGGAATCCAGGAAACCGGAGCGCTACTCATCTGCCGCTCCCCTTGCGCGTAACCCCCCCCCCCCGCCCCCCACATGAAGCACAAAATGCTTCTGAAATCATTATTACAATGGAATCCTTAGATAGCATTTTCTTTGTAGGTTTCAACTGTTGTTCTATTGGGGAATCCGATATACAATATGAAAGAGGAGGACTCGACAAATGTTCTAACTTCAGGTTTTCGTGTGTGAGTGCGCCATTTGTCATTCTTCTGGTTGTTAGGTTCCTCGAGGTTGTTTTGTTTTACATATGTCAAAGCTATTGTTAGTGAACTTTTGCAGCCGATGCTCGACAGCGGATCGTTTCAGAACGTATTGACTTGAAGAACAACCTTGTCATCTCTGTATCGGTATTTTGCTTAACCACCTACATCCTTCGTCCATTCAGTTTTGATCTCCCATTCAAATGCTTCATTCCTCTGAAGGTTATGAGCACTCTGAGACAAATAGTATGTATTGTTCATGTATACCACCCAGTGGACTTCCAATGTTGGATTACGGCCTGAAAGTCGTAAGGGTGTAGGACGATAGGGATAGGTTGCATCCCCTACTCACCTATTACTTTCTACGGTTGCTTTCGATCTGATGATAATTCCTTAACTTCATTTTGAAGATATGTACGTTTGGGTTAGGCTTTTGGGGGTCTATTTCTTGTCAATGAGATGTTAAAGTGAATTCAGCTCTTGTTGATAGATTTCTAATCCTGATGAAACCTCAATCATTGCAACTAAGTTTTACATTGCTAGGTCGGGCCTCCAAACTCTGCTTTCTTAAAAACAAGTGACTCCAAAACATGGGATGCGAAAGCCGTTGCACAATCTGTTCTTGCCGACAAATCAACTGCGGTCAGCTATCAACTCACTCCATTATATGTGTTTAACATAATTTGACTAGTTCGAAATAGTTCCAAATTTTTAACCTCTCATTATATTCTGGTTTCAAAATTGTTTCAGCGGATGACAATGGGACAAAGAGTAGCGGAGGTATCGATTGTGGATGCTCACACAAAGGAGGTAAAATCCTGTCCTTAACTCAATTTTTCGTCTCTTGTATGCCAAAAAGTCGAAGAAGCTGATTGCCTAGCGCCTGGAGCGGATACAGATGTCCTCACATGCTTTCTTCTTTGATCTTTGGTAATTACTTTAGGATCTGCTTTTGAGGAATTATTTCTTATTGAATCTTCAATCTTAGTATCATAACCACTTGCATTATTATAGGTGGATGGTGTGCCGTATTTCTACTACGAGTACCTCGTTCAGAAGTCACCAACTTTGACGGTGCGTTTGTGTTTGCAATCCTGTTTTTATTGGGCAATGCATCCTTAAACATAGAATACTGCTAGAAAATTCTCGTCTTGGTTACTTGAGTTCTTTTTCGGTCTTAAACTGATATTCTGAGTAGTGTAAACTGAGGATTTGTCGCTGCATTGATTTGGCAGCAAGGTGGACTTGACGTTTACCGGCATTCAGTAGCTGTGACTGCCGAAAGGGAAGGTAAGCATAGATAATCAGTGAACACTCTTAGCGTTCCCATTTATCAACGGTCTTGCTGCGTTCGTTTTAAATTAAATTCAAATACCATTTGTAAGCTCCGGTAGGCTGTAAATATTACATTATTAAAAGATTTTAATGATGTGACGGATTTCAGGTTACTTGTACTCTTTGAATGCATCAACGCTGGATTCGAGATGGAACATAGTGAGTGGCTCCTTTCACCCTGTAGACTTTCCATTCCGAAATATGAACTGTTTGTTTGTAACGTGGCTAGAATTGTTTTCATCTTTTTCCTGAACGCTTACTTTGATCGTGACACTCAAATCATTAATTAGTACTGTACTTGTGCAGATTGGACCGGCGTTTAATGAAACGATAGCATCTTTCCGCATGACTCCGCCAACAGAAGAGTATGTCCCTCCATACAAAGATCCATGGCGCTTTTGGTAGGTGCTGTCGGAGTGATTTTGTCACCTTCGATGGGTCCATAGATTTCAAGACAGATTTCAGCGGTTTTTGCGCAACCTGTATTTCGTCTAAATTCAATATTTTTGGCAGCATTGAGCACAAATACGAATCTGTTTGGAACCACTGGATTCTTCCAGTTTCAAGAAATGAGACAATTTTCCCAACGTTTAAACCAGTTGATGCGTTGCTGATCAATTTCCTTCCACAATTCCGCGTTACAGACATGGATGAGAACAGAGTTTTCATAAATCTAGTGAAGGAAATGTTTTGGGGCTGAACAGGAGGAAATGGTGTGAAAGAGTCATGTATTCTTCATACATGGTAAAACTGCTTAACGTCTGTACATCGTCTTCACATCGTCCGTACATCTTCATTGTATTGTGGCATCCTCTGTACATCTGTATTGATGTAGAACGTATCGCAGACTCAGTTTGAATAACTTGAACCTGGATACTATATAATTAGAGTATGTACTTATCATGAATTCCATCTGGCTGCGGGTCTAATAGTAAGTATTGTGAACAACCAAAAGTATTTCAGGTTACACAGTTTCTTCACAACGCTCTCAGCTTATGACTCAATTTAGACTACTTTTTCCTCAAATACTTCATGACTAATTCTGCAGTCACACTTTTTATACAAATATTGTTCACGTTGAAGAGTGGAAACGGAATCGGAACATTATATCAAACGAAATACATGACCCATCTGCTTAATAAGGGTGACAAATACTGCAGATTAATGACCATTTATTTTCATGAGATAAGCGAGTAGAATTGGGAATCCTTCAGTCTCTTAGACCAAGTCACTCAATCAATTCTGACGATACAATACAGTGAAAATCTCCGTCATTCTCCATTTTCACACAAACTCATTGCATACACGACTGTTAACACAAGAAGGGTTAGGTAATGAGCGAGTGGTCATGCTGTGCGTCTCGAGCATTTCAAGTTGTCAAACATCTTAAAATACACAGAATCTCAATCAATTCAGTGAATGGAATTGTCCTTGGGAAGGAGCAAAACATAAAATCCTCGAAGCTGACTTCCAATTTCATAGCGTTGGGGCATCTAGGCGGCAGCAACTGCAATACGTCCAGCAACCTGATCCAAATCTCGCTGCCCGTTGGAGGTAATACGTCTCCCTCTGCCAGACAGTGGCAAAAAGTATTAACAAACGAATTAAACAAACGTGTAAGGAAAGCAGAGACAGGATTCACTTGATAGTTGCAGAGAAGTATCGCTCCAAGAATTCTTTACAGCAAGCTCTCATTCTCAACTGTCTGGTGCATGGTAGCACGATAACCCTAAAGCAGGGTTGGAATACGTATATAATATAGACTAAGTGGCACAAGACTGGAGAGAGAAAAAAAATAAAAATGAAAATAACAGCAGATCATGAGTAGATGGTGAAGTTTACCCCTGGGGATCCTTCTCCACAATATCGAGAGCCTCAAGCTGCTTCAGACAATGCCTGGCGATAGACCCACTGCTCTTGGCAAAATGTGAGGGTCTGACACCATTGCTCTTACGGCCACCATATATCTTGCGGAAAGCACCAACTCCAACACCTTGCCTGAGGTAAATCTTCCGCGCCATAGAGGCTTCGCGATACAATCATAAACATCACAGGAAAGTCAATACCAAGCTCGTATCCCAGAAAGTATCATGAAACTGTAATACTTTACCAAGAGTAGAGCCACCATTAACGATCGGGACTTGGAAACTGCACCGGAAGACTACAGTAGTGACGAAACTACAATCCGAGAGGAGCACCTAGGAAACACTCTCACACAGCTCAAATCTTATGCACAAAAGAAGAAAGGGGAGAAAGGATTCTACAGAACGATAATAACAAAACGAATAAAGTTAATGCAGCATACCAGCTCGGATGTAATACCAGTCAGCATCATAAGGTGCCAACTCCTTAAATGTAGCGGTCTTTACAAGATCGGCCCAGACGGGAACCTCAATCTGTGCACGGAGGCACAAAAGATTTTAACCACATTGCCATCCAAAACCCCCTCCCGAAATTAGGACAAGCAACTGCTCCTCTGAGACCTCAACCAATTAATCCACTCCGTCCCGGAATCAAGCAACGTATCCTCCGCCCACCCATTCCAACCTCCACAGCACCACGAAACGTTCCAAGACAACCAAATCACAATATCAAATTACTCCATCACCCCTGGATCGCTCAACACCACACAAACCACCCCAGGTACCTTGCCGGAGCGCTTGAGATGGGCAGCGTAATTGCGCACGAATTCATGGGAAGACACATCCTTCACGGTCTTCGCCTGCGCCATGGTGATGGCGGATGTGCACTCGAATCCGGCTGCTGAAAGCGGGAAAGAGAAAGATCGTAGATGCCCTCCATAGCTATACCCTCGTTTGCCTCGACCCTTAAAACCCTAATCTGTTACCGACCCCCGCTTACACCTCTTTCATACCCGGACACGTAGGTATCATTTCGCCTGAGGGATATCAGCTGAGTTGTCCACCTAGGCGATCTACGTGGCAGAGCCAAGAAATAATGTTTCTACGTGGATTGCCTAGGTGGCAGAGGCGAGCACAAGAGCTCGTGCGGCTCTTGTCGTTGGCTGCTGACGAAGGTTTTTTGCGGTGAAGCTCCTCATCGTCGACGTGAGTTGTGAGGATTTTCGGTGAGCGTTTGCGGGAATTGGAGCAGGGGAGCGGTGAGGGTTTAGGGTTTTCCATGAGGCATAAACTTTGGCAATGGCTAATGAGCCGGGTTTCCATGGAGCGTCGCTTGGATTTAGGGAAGAAGAGCTTGGATTTAGGAGTTTGTAACCGAGGTGCGGCGGAAGGGACTGGAAGAGGAGGGTTTGTGAGTGCGGTGCGGGTGGATTACGGCGCTGATGGATTGCGGACTGCGGAGATGCACTGGAATTTTAGGAGTAGTCGGTTTTATGCCGTTCCCGTGGCGGCCGGTAGGAGTGACGGGAATGGAGTGGGGAGTAGAGAGGGGATCAAAGGGGAGCGAAAGATTAATCGTGCGATAGTGGCGCGGATGGTTCGGTTGGTGGGTGATGGGAGCAACGAGATTTTGAGCCGGTATGAGGCGTTGAACCGGGCGCAGCAGGCGGGGTTGGATCTTGTGGAGGTGGATGGGAAGGCGGATCCGCCGGTGTGCAAGTTGATGGATTTTAGCAAGGAGAGGTTCAAGGTGAAGAAGCAGGAGAAAGACCTTCGGAAGAAACAGCTAGAGAGGCGGAGGTTGGATGACTTGAAGGAGGTGCGTTTCAGCAGCCGAACGGAACAGAAAGATTTAGATATGAAGGCGGACGTAGTCACCAGGCTTCTTGTGCGCGGGCACCGCGTGAAGTTGGTAGTGCAATTCCATGGCAATGACAAGGGGGAGGAGGTTGGTGTCAAGTTGCTGGAGCGGGCGATGAACTTGTTACAGGCTGAATTTAAAGTCGAGAACGGACCGCGGGTAGAAAAGATGCGAGCGTGGGTTATGATTCGACCCATTCAGGAGCAAAAGAACACCAAGAATAATAAATCTTCGAATACCATGAGTAAAGATGAGAATTTAGATGATTAAACGGATAGGATTACATCAAGAAGGCTGCGAAAGAAGAAGATGAGGAGTAAGTTCTGATGCGGAGTGTGCACGCCGATGCTTATGCACGCACAAGGGCTAGTGCTTCACGTGTTTACTGATTTGAAGCAGATCATTGATTGGATGGTTTGCACGCTAATCATGTGATTGAACTCGGAGGAGTCGGAGCCTGGTGACGTTAAAAACATGCCCGTGCTCATTACATCGTTAGGAATGAACGTGTGCACGACCCATTAGTCGTGCAGCGTTGGTGTTTCAATGCTTAGAAATGCATAAATGAGGGTACTGAGCAAACCCTCTTCTTCTGGTTATCTTCTAGCAGCAGATCTTCGAGTTTACTTCGATGTAGTACAACAATTAATTATGCTTCAAAGTAGAGGCATAGGCTTGCTGAGTACAAATGTTTAGAAAGGCACTGGAGGGGCAGCTCTTCATAGTTAGATATAAGCTTACACATGGATACGTCTGTGTAAATCTGCCACACTCATCGCAATGCGCCCCCGCATTTTTAACTCGTTTTTCGAGCAGATTTCTCTAATCATAGCTCTGTGGAACAAGCCTTTAAGCGTGAACGAGATCATGGCATGATTTATTATATAGAAAGCAGAGGATGTTTATTTCCAACTAGTAAAGTTCTGCAGCACAGTATCCGAGTAAATCGACACTATTATTCTTGGAGCTTCAGAACATTCTTTGAAATTGTTGTGTATGTACACCACTAAACAGTTCTCCTCAACAGGCTGAGTAATTCGTTTTTGAATTTTATTCACTGTTTTACGATTAGAGCACTGCAGACACTTTGCACATGCGCTACACCAAAAGCAATGTCGATTTGAAACAAATGGGACATCAAGTTGAAGTGGGAGATTTTTATGGCATTTTCCAAGAGTCCGGAAAGATGTGGCATTCATGTGATCTTATAACCATTGAGCCTTCGTTGTCATCATGTGGAGGAAAAAGCTGAGTTCGAGAGTGTGTTCCTTCTGCGACCAATGAGCACAGGAATGAGTTTCCACATTGATTTCCAGTAATGTCCTCAAGCCCCAGATAGCCAGGAGTCTGCATCCATAACCCTATACAGGTCGAGGGTCTGACCTTCGAAGACAAGCACCCGGAAGAGGTTCACTCAGCAACAAGAGTTTATTCGGGTAAAACACTCCTCCACAAAAGTCTCCCACTTTTCTAATGTTTTCTTAAATGCACTTAGGAATGGTTACAATAACCAGATATACTAGAACAAAACGCTGTTTGGTTTAAGCCACGACAGGTGAACGTTTCACAATTCATTTAAATGAAATGCTTCATATTTCGCTTAATACGCTCCATTGATAGATTGTAGACATAAAACAACTTGACCCAGAGCTGGCCTCCGTGACCCAGTTGGCTACTTTCAGTCTCTGCTCCTGCAGGTTATGAGACGACGTTGATGTGATGGACAGCATTTCCCTGTCGAGGATGGTGAAATCTGCTTCGGATGAGACCACCGATCACAATGCTGATTTTTGCAAAATGCTCCTGACAACAGCTCTGACTTGGACTATGTCCAAGACAGATAATGAGTAGCTCTAGAGGATGCCAACGCCGCTCAGGATGTATGTGTATATATATATGATTGACTTGTTCTATGAGTGTCCTTTTTGTTGTAGTTCGAAGGCAAAGTTCTGATCACATTCTGATGAATCCCAGATGTTGGCTGTCACCTCCACAATCTGCATTACTTGGTGATCACCTTAAGCAGAAGGTGAGGCAAATCACAGTATTTGTGACTCATTTTCTAATTTCGGTTATTAGCTGCATGTTATCAAGTGAGATCCCTTTGATGAATAATACACATTTTGAGAGCAAATTGTGGTTCTTCTGCATCTCCTTAGGATAATAATATGAGCACCTTTCTTTTATCTTCATGTGATACTTTGAAGTAGAGAATAACCTTGGCAATCTCGATGAAATTTTGATGTCGAAGGTAGAACTATTGAAAGTCCAACATATTGATGGTGAAGTTAAAAAGCAACTGTGAGAATACAGTCATTTCTTAGTTTATTTAATCCTACTTTATTTCTACCTTTGGAAATTAGTTGTCTCTCTCATTTTCAATAGTTTGCCAATAATTGGATGAACATTTGCTATATTTATAAAAGTGAATTTTTGTTTTTATTTTTGACATTGGCAATGCAAGATAAAGAGAAATGCATTTAAAATTTGTATTGCTAAGTGGAATTTGATTTTAAATAACTTTATTATTCTTTCCAAAGGTGTTGATGAAAGAAAAGAATAAACAAATAAAGAAATAATTCCAAGAACTTATTCTATGCTTCAAAGAATAAACAAAGAGAATATATGTATAAATATATATATATATATATAATTATTATTATTATTACTTTACAATTAATAATACTCAATTTATTTGTTTTTCGGATTTGCAAAAAAAACCTATAAAAAAAAATTTAATAAATTAAGGTAAATTTAATATTTAAAAAAACTTAATTAATGCACATATTTTTTATGTTGCTTTCATGGATCTTGTCCAAATAAATATAAAATATAAAATAATAATAAAAAGACGTTATTTCCTAAAATATCCTTTTTCTACCACATTAAGTTCTATCAACAATAGAAGAAAAAAATAGTTTTTGCTCCATTTGGTTAATAAAAAATTGATTCAAACTTTAAATTTAGATAAATAGACAAAAATATATTTTTTTAGAAGTTGATGCTTGTATTCATCAAAATTAATTTGTCTATTGTAATCTTTGTGTATTTATATTTTGTTAATAATCATTAGACTTAGACCAATTAATTTCTAGACTACACTTTTAACAAAAGCTATAAATACTTTTGATATAATGCAAAAATTCATTCTTTATTTACTAATATATAACATTAAGTCATTTGCATATTACCTTAGGAATTATTCATTAGACCTTTTAAATGATTTGATATCAATTTTTTGAATAAAATATTTTTTGTAATTATAAAAATATTTACAAAACATAAACAAGTCTTGAATTAAAAGACAATCTTCTTACATCTCTATCTTTCTTGAAATTTTTGGATAAAATTATTGTTTAAATCTATTACTTTTTTCACACTTTTAATATTGATTCATACTGTATGAATAAGCTAGTAATTAAATCTCAACTTCAAAGAACTTCTTAGAATCATTATTATGAACTTTACAACAAATTCACTTTTACATGGAAAAAATAAAACAAAATAAATGCTTATTGCATAGTTTTTTAGATAATTAAAATATTATCGAGTAAAAATCTCAAAGATGCAAAGGTAATTTTTTAAGTTAATTTTTTTTATGAGTACCAATTTTAAATGTCATTTTAGAGCCCTAGCATTAATTTTTAATAATATGTTCAATAAAATAATGAGTTGTTAATGACAAGACTTGTCTTTTGTCTTCATTTACAAGAAGAAAATATAGTTCTAACTATAATTTAAGGGTATTTATTTACAAGTGATTGGTTGATCTTATCAAAGTAATACTTTGTGAATACATTCTAACATGCTTTAAAAATATATCACTTCAAAATTGTCCATGCTCGATGTTTTTTTAATTGTCATATTTCTTTAATACCAACTTAATTTTATTTGGAGCCAAAGGTTATTATTAATGTATTCTTAACCAAATTTATTTAAAAAAAATATAATTGCTATATCTTCTTAGATAGTACATTGAAGTTTATTTAAATTAGAATTAAAGTCATGATATAGTTTTTCTAGTTTCTTCTTAGTCACCAACATTTGACTATTGGCAATTTTGTAGTAATGAGATTAGAAATTTTAGATTTATTTATTCAAAATTTAGAATATATATCTTCAATCTAATTTGAGCTTCTTACCTTTTCTTTTTCCTTTTTATTTCTTAAATTTTAATTTTTCTTTTTAGACCATCGTAAGAAATCAATAGATAATCTAAAACTATTAATATGCCTGGATGACATTTTTTTTTTTTTCTTCTATTCATTTACCTTAGAGCTTATTGTTTGTAGAAACATATATGAAATTCTTCATCTTCTTACAATGTTTTTGCTTAAGACTTACTCTAGGCCATTTTTATGCCTTTGATAAATAATGCTTAGATCTTTAAACACAAATAAAATATGTCAAAGATTGGAATTTAGAAGCACACGTTAAAAAAAAATAGATGGACAAATCTATTAATAGGTAGTTAAAAAACCACACAAAAAGAAGAAAAAGAAAACATGTATGATAAGGTTGAATGTTAGAATTGTGATGTGTTATATATATATATATATATATATCATACATCAGTGTGTATTAACACTACATTACTGATGAAATTAAAGGAAGTGACATCCATAACTTTTAAATCTAGCATCAAATAATTGGATACCTAGAAAATACCCAGACTTTATTTTTATTACTTTTAAAATAAATTAATGCTTTGATAAATAATCATATTTCGAACTCAAAGAAAAATATTAATATAAATGTGGGCGCAGAGTGTAGCATGCAATTATATAACAACCTGCAATTTATTTATTATCACAATTTTATTTCAAAAATAGCAAAGTAAAAACACAGAAAATTATATATATATATATATATATATATATATTGAGACTCATTCATACAAAATTTTGGTTCAAATCATTATAAAACCTGGTGTGAAATTTATGAATGATTTGTAAACCTCATAGAATAATCAGAAAAGTTTTAGACTAAAATTTAAGAAATTAATGGTTTTCTAAAGAGCCTTGGAATCAATGTCCTCATGTCATGACCCATTTTAATTGCAATTTTAATAGTTTAATTTAATTAAGTTAAACTTTGACAAATAAAAATGACACTTATGAGACCATTAGTTTTGCAACATCTCAATTCCTTATCATATGCTAAATAAACACCCCCATCCATTTTTGATGCCCAAGTGTTGATAAATTTCATTGTGTGTACATTCAATTTCTGAAAAAAATCAATAAAGAATAAAAAGTGATTATTGTAATTTTATGTTCAACCACAAAAATGATGCAATGTTTTAAACATGACAAGGGCATGAACTGGAAATCAAAGACGTTCACTTTTCATTATTCTCCATGAATATTCTTACATTCAATTCATATTTATCATGCTTGCTAGCTTTTCTGTAATATAATGTTTCAGTTTATAAAAGAGAAAATAGAATAATAAAATAACGTTCATATCAAGTAATTGCAAGGAAATAAATGATAAATAACTCCTTACAATTGTAACCCCTCTTATATTCTATCCATCACCAAAAAGCAAACAGAACAAGTCAAGTATATTCAACAACAGTATTCCTTGTAGAAACATGAATTAGAAGCAAGCTAAATACAAGTACAAATTCCCAAGTCATTTTTAAAAAATAATCTACAAACAATTTGTGTAAAGGGCGAACAATGTGGATCACTCATTTACAGTGAATTTTTGCACAAGTCTTGCAACAAACATTATATATGTATATATATATATATATATATATATACATACAATAAATAGCCCATAGCACGAGTGTTATGGCTTAATGTTACCAAATGTAGAACCAACTTGGACCTTACGTTGTTTGATGATCAATCAAACCCAAATAAAACCTTTCTTTGCAACCAAGTTCACGAGTTTCCATGAGAAGTTTTCCTTTCAAGATGTACAATAACAACAATTGGCATTATTGTGTGAAACAAAAGTTTGCCACACAAAACGAATAAAATTATGCCATTTTATTACAGAAGTCCTACTACAAAAAGCAACTTATGTTCCATGATTCTATTGTACAAACAACATTCCCTCAACCCCAACCCCATTCGAATTACTAATCCAAAGGAAGGGTGACGTGGACCAATCAACACATGCCATGTGTCAACTTCACATCATCTATCCACGTGGTGATCGCCCTCGAAACCGTGCCACCCCTGGGGCCACAGTCACGGAGACGGGTTACCGCGAACGTTGAGGTCGAAGAGGCAGCAGCTGCACCACTACCAATACCACTACCACTCACTCATCCTAAGATCTTCCCCGCTGGATCCCGCGCTTTCAATTTCGCACACCCAAATCCGACACACTACTGGCAACGCTGTTGCGCCGCCGCAGCGACGGCTGCGGCAGCAGTGGAAGAAGCAGTTCCCATGCGCGCAGAAGCACCCAGCCCGTTCACTAGTTGTTCTCCCTCTCTGTGCGTCACGGTCGCTCTGTCGTCGTGTCCAGCAGCCGTCTCCAGAGGAGTATGTCATGAATCACGACCCAGTTCGGGTGACAGGGTGGGTGGGCCCCTTCCCCGACACAATTAGATGCGTCTCCGTTGCATCTTCGAGGTCAGGATTTCGCCTAAATGCGGAGCGCTAAATATACACCCACCAACGGCCCTTTTCTGGGCTAAGTTAAGGTAGCGACAACGAGGTAATGCTGAGATGCTGCTCTTCCGCATCGTACGCCATCAGGGGGGGCGCCCATTGAAGACTCCTACCCTGCAGTGAGATTTCTCGTCATTTTTCTCCTCCCCCCAACCCCCTTCCCGAGGCTTCTTCTCCTTCGGTTTTACGGCGCCTGTTGCTATTTATAGTGGCGCGCGTTCATGCGTCTCGAAGGTGGAAGTCTGGGCCGTTATCCGTGTCAGGGTCGGTTTTAGGTCCTTAATGTTGACCTAAAGGTACGATGCTTCCACGTAGGCGCGGAGAAAGGGCTGATGTTTTAGGGGTCCCGTTCTCTACCTAGTGCCGTTCTCGATGAAGTCCCAGCACTCATGATGAAAGTAGGGCGTTTACCTATGGATGAAATTAGTGCTTCATTCGTCGATTGTTGCTGAGGGAATAACTGTGTTGAAAATCTCTCACCTATTGCAAGAGTTTCATTTTGTAGAATGATCTTCAATATACATTTTTTTATTGCTGTTTATTTCTATCAGCTATTAATATTATTTTTATTATCATCAACGTCATTTTTAAATGAAAACAACAATATTTTTGAAAATTAATTTAAGCACTGAGCTGTGTAGATTGAAGTGTTAACAAGCAAGTGCCTTGTGCAAGTTTTTTCTGCCCACTTAGCGAAAACGTTCATTTGACGATTTGATGTCATGTTTTTAGAATTGTTACTTCAGCATCTTGAGTTATAATTTGAAATTTTACAGTAACACGTATACCAAAAATAACAAGACATTTGTTCCGATTTGGTACGAAATTCATTTGAATAGCTAACAAAATAAAGTATGTACGATAAAATAATTTAACATATGTGTTTTCTAAAAAAAGCACGTCTTAATTGTTTACATCGAAATATACAGCAGCACAGTTTTTAGAGTTGTATACAATTAGAAATATCGTACTTAGTAAACATTGTATGCATATAGAACAACTCCTTTGGTTTATTTGGTATATATACATATATATATATATATATATACATCGAGTGGTTTTGCTATGGTCTTGTTGGTATTACGAGCTGTTAGTATTTGGTAAAACCAAATTGTTTAGTTGTTTTGCTTACACATGTATAAAAGTAATATTTTATTTGTGTCACCTTTTTTTTTTAAAAGGTTTCTTATTTCGTATTGAAATATGAATGATAGGTCTAACAAATCCATCTTTAACTGTAACTTTCCATTAAGATATATATATATATATATATATATACGGAAAAATCAATAAGAAATTTAATCTAAAATCTATAACAATAATCATAACAAAGATAACCAAAACACTACAAAAACATGAAAGAATTCTGTTTAAGAAAATATCAACTATTTGCAGCAATTTCATAGCTTGTCTTGCAAATCAAAGAACCAACGACGAAATTTATCCCAACAAGTTTTGTCTAAGTTCAACAGAAAGTAGTAGTATTTGTTACCAGAAACTTACGATCCCATTACAAAGACGGAACATTTGAAAAAGAAGAAGAAGAAAAAAAAAAAAAAAAAAAAAAAAAAGAGAGAAAAAGATACCCACTTTGATAAGAGCAGTATTAGGGGAATTAGTGTTGTCTTTTGGACTTTTCCGAGTTAATAAAATTGTGAAAAGTTAAGTACGATTCCAACTTGACCCAGATTATAGCCCAGCACTAACTAAAGCGTCTTGTCAGTCTATAGGAACCGGAACCGTTCCCGATGACTAGAACGTGACCCAGTGGGAACACAATAATTCAAAGAGTGCGCACGGTCAAATCCCCTCGAAAACCTGAAACCACGAGCCCTGGCGCGGTCGTAGGGCGCGGCACCAACGGTCAACCCCTACGACCAACGTAGTTATTCAGTTCGTACGGACACTTACACCAGGCAGGCCACGGGGGACCTCCAACCGGGGTGGGGGGGGAGGATGTGTGGGGTTTTCCCGGCCGAGTCTTTCTCTCGGCCCCGCGATCGGGGGAGCGCACCCGTCCCCCCGTCCCCAACGCTGTCTGTCGCTTTCCGCTCCGCCGATTTGAAAGTGAAGGGAATAGTCTGACGTTGCCAGTTCCTTCTTCACGCCGCCCAGATACGAACACAATAGATTTCGCAACGACGGGTGCGGTTGAGGATCCTTCGTTGCGTTGGTGGCCAGAGCCTCCTCTTGAGGTCCACCGGTGCGGAGAAGAAGAAGATGATGACGATGATGATGCAGAAGAGGGTGCGCTGAGCTTACCGATGCCATTTGTGTATGGTAGTTGTTGGTGCAGCATTAACAGCATCAGCAGCTGCTCTTTCTTCGTGCGCGGCGGCTCTTCTCCCTCCTCTGCTTGTTTCCGTCGTCGTTGTCTCTCATTCTTCTATTTCCCTTCCCTCCCCCCCGGCCTGGCTCTTCCTCGGGATTTTACATCGTGTGAGGGCAGGGCGATGCGTTTGTGCGGAACAGAGGAGGTGTTCGATATAATGCGGGGCGCGTCGACAGGAAGCGGAGGGTCATAGGCGGTTGAGGTGTCTGGAGTCATTGGAGGGGTGGAAGTTTGTAGGTGAAGATCCCTTGTGAATTGTAGTGGCGAGAATCGTGTGTTCAGGTTCCTCGACATCGTTTGTGATGCGAGTGGAGGTCTAGAGGTGCGCAGTAGCGAATGAGCGAGCGAGAGAGGGTGGAGCTTGGAGGGAAGGTGTCGCTGGAGAAGCAGATGCATTGTTGGTGTCGTGAATCATCTGCTTCGTCTATGGGACTATGATGTTTGCGGTGCTTCGTGTCAGGTATGGGATTGCGCACTACGATCTCTTCAGTTATCTGAAACTTTAGGCTGGAAGGCAATGAGGAGAATCACTCCAGAGTGGCTGGATGCGGTGAGACTTTCAGATTCTTTTGGAGTTTTGGTGGGCGTAGTCTGTGGGTGCAAACGGTCTGATCAGCGCTTCTTGAGACAAGAAACCTCAGTAAAGTGATCAGTTTCGTTGGACGATGTATTCGGAAGATCCGCTCAATGTTCAATGGTAGGGCTGCTCTAGGTTTCGCTAGTTGTGCTGGTTTATTCCTGATTCTTATACTGCTAGGCGAGGAATTGCACGATCTTTCTGACTTGAGGCAGATTCTTACGGCACTGTATTGAAATGCCGGTTAAGACTGTTTGAGTGGGCAATTCTTGAATGGACGGAACCTGATTCACTCCGACCGAGCTTCTGCAGATTGATAGATGGTAGTGCGAGTCATGCGAGAATTGTTGCAATTTTCGGGTCGGTAGCTATGAGGGCATCTTTCTCCGACATGTGACATTTGGCTGCTGGACGTTCCTTGGTTGCTGTAACCCTGAATCTAAATCGAGTGCCCCCGTTCAGTTTAATTCCACAAAGGAGAGATTTTGCGCGGCACTACAGTGTCCGTGCATTTATCCCTTAGATGTGCAGGGAACACTTCTTACGGTCCACGCTGGTCTGAAATCGTTGTTGTGGTACTTGCAGGGTGTCTGAAGCCATGGATGATGTTATGATTGCGGAGAATTTTCTGCGGTAGGTACGGAGTGATTGCACTGAAGCATATCCGGATGGATTGTTGTAACTGGACGCATTTGGAATGTTTGGCGGATTTAGCATCGTAGGTAGAATTTGAAACAATTGGGTACAGAGTTTTCACGACTCAGGTTGTTCCAGTGTGGTAACCGTCAGAATTACTGAGAGAACTAATAAAATGGGGTGCAATAATTCTAAGATCGATAACGAGGAGGGGCTTTCAAGATGCAAGCAGAGGAAGCACCTAATGAAGCAGATTGTCGCATCTCGACACAACTTTGCAGCTTCACACGCCATGTTCGTAGTGTCTCTCAAGGGAGTTGGATCAGCATTTAGACAATTTGCAGAGGGTGAGGTGAAGGATGAAGTTAGGTACCTAATGCATTCAGAGGTGTCTACACCAAGAACGGAGACTCTGTCATTTGGACCTCCTCCAACGTTACCACCAGCTCCTATGTCTCCTGGATTTTCACCCTCTCCTCCTCACTCACCTGTCTCTCCTCATGTCAGGCATTCTACATCGCGTATGCAGAATGACTCTCGTAGTACAGGAGCAGTCAGTTCACCAGAGAGCGTAACCCGGGAATTCCTTCCGCCCCCTCCTCCTCCCATAACTATGAGACAGCATAGAATGGAACACACTCCCTCAGCTAGCATAACTAATATATATAGATATCCCGAAGAATCCTCCAACTCTTTCAAGTATAAAATGGATGATTCTATTCCTCCTCCTCCCTTCCAACCCATTCTTATGGACGACGATTGGATACAATCTAGTCGGACAGCCCCAATCTCACATGCTGCTACCAGAAGCAATCCTACCCCACCTCCGCCTGTCACTAGGAGCAGTTGGCAAGATTTGTTTATGGATCCATTTAGACCTTCACCTCCAACTTTTAACTACATGGAGGAGAGAAAGAACCAGGATGTGGATAGCAGGCTGTCTCCAGCTGCAGTAGAGCAGAAACTTAGACAGGAATCCGAATCGAAAATGAACTACGATGCGGAACAGAAAAAGATCCAGCAGTCGGAGCAGAGAAGGAGACTTGATATTGAGCAGAAGAGGATTCACGAGGAACGGAAAAAGTCTCAAGCGATAGAAGAGAGGAGGAATAGGGAGCTTGAGCTTAGAAAGAGAGAGGAGAGGGCGGTTCCCCCGCCACCCAAGAAGATCGTGGAGGTTCAGGAGAGTATACCGGACGATATACCTGATTTAGAGGAAGACGATGTTCCCGATCTTGAAGACGTTGACGAGGATATTGATGAGCCAGCTCCAAAGGCATATATTCTGAACTCACTGTTTTATTTCCACTTCGGGGTTGAACGGATCTGCATTCACTTATGACAATCTTGTTGTAAGGTGCAATTGTTGTTTGAATTCTCTAGATATTTACAGTTACTTGTGGTCCCTCCTGCGCTTGCTGAAGCATTGATTGCCAGTTGGGATGGATTTGTATATGCATTTCGTTGATCTTAGGCAATGCGAAGTTTTTAGTCATCTCATCCGTGAATTATCTAATCTTAACAAGAATGATAATTATGATTATAATCATAATAACAAATGTTTTATAGCTTTCTATGGATCTGTAGGAACTTGATGTTTTTCCTATAAACTTTTGGCTTTTAGGATGAAGATAAGGAGCGGGAGAACAACGCTGTCAATAAACCGCAATCAGCTCAAGAATTAGCATCAGAACCTATTCCAGATGAAAATCCAGAATCAGCACCTAAACCAGAAGAACCGGACTCTGCAACACCGAAGTCAGCACTAGAACAAATATCAGAACCTGAGACCCCGCCAAAAACGCCACCACAGACCCCGCCGAAAGTCCAGGAGCCACCAGCTAAGGTAGCGAATGCAGGGAAGGGACAGAAAACTCCCATATCTGGTAAAACTCCAGGAAAACCCCCGAAACCTGAACAATCAATCTCGAAAACTAACAAGGAATTGGCCGTTGTCAAGGCGGAGAAGGGTGGTCGGGATTTGCTCGACGTCCTAAAAGAGGTCGATGAGTGTTTTCTGAGAGCTGCTGATAGTGGCGAGAATGTGTCACGCATCCTTGAGACTAAGAAAGCACATTATCATTCAAGTTTCTCAGACAGTTTAAGAGGTACTGCACTGCAAGTGAATACAGTTTCTGCTTTACTGCTTCGTAGCATTCAAAACCGGTGAGAGATATTCTTACTATGCTTTTTATGGGCTATTCTCTCATGTTCATGTATATGGCCTTCTGTTTTCGCAGTTGTGGGTGAATCCGCAAGGATGAATCTTTTAAAGCTCTCTGGAAAATCTGGATCAGCTAGCTTTAGAACATCTGGCAATATGAATAGTATGAGTGTCTTAACGGATGAATCCCCAAGCATAATGAGCATGCGGAGGAACATAAGCAACATGAGCAGCGCAAGGTATACGGAAGAATGTGGATTGGGTAACAGCCATGCGGCGACACTCGATAGGTTGCTCGCTTGGGAAAAGAAACTATACCTCGAAGTCAAGGTACGTATTGTACTAGGACCTGTAATGCAATTATGTGGGTTGGGCTTTTAATGGTTTCTAGGTTATCTCTAGTAATCGTTTGTGGAACGGACCTTGATGTGAAAAGTTTCGATGTGTTAACAGGAGGCAGAAGCTCTTAGAGTTGAGTTAGACAGGAAATATCACTTGTTTAGAAATCAGGATGCAAAGAATGAAGATCATACGGTCATTGATAAAACCCGCTACACTATTAAAGGTCTTCAGACTCGAATGGTGGTAGCTATTCAAGCTGTAGACAGCGCTTCACAGCAGGTGCAGAAGCTAAGGGATGAGGAATTGTATCCACAGCTTGTGGAGTTACTGAATGGGTGAGACTTTCTCACCATATCCTTTTTTAATCCGGGAGATTCGCCAAATAATCAAGCTTCATCATAGTTTTCTTTTAACGGTGGTGGCACTTGATGATTGCAGCTCCTCGGGCACGAAACGATGGAAGCACTAGATGAAACTCATCCCTATCAACAAATGTTTGAAGATTATAGTTTTCTTTGAGATATTTTTGTTTTATCTTTACTTTTAAGGTCACACGTATAATCTTTTTATATTTATGTAGGTTGGGAACTATGTGGAAGAATATGTCTCAAGCTCATCAAGCTCAGTTGCGAGCAGTTGAGACCATGAGAAGGCTTGATAACTCTGCTGCCTGTGAACCAACTACAAGCTCTCATCGCCAGTCAACCATGTTTCTTGAACAAGCACTGAACAAGTATTATTCTTATTATTGTTTCTTTCGTGCCTGATGCAGACTTTTTAGTAATTTATTTTTGAGTTCTAGAACTATGTTATTTCATGCCTTTACTTATTTGCCTTGAATTTCCATTTTACCATACTACTGTTGTGTTTATGACTTCCTTCTTAATTAAACGTTAATCAGATTTATGGCTGGAAAGGGCACTGGTATAGAACGGAATAGGATTATTATGTGTTGCTAACGGTCGTTGACAAATAATTGTCGCAGGTGGTCAGGGGGTGTGTCGAGAGTCATAAGTTCACAAATGGAATATTTGAAGAATATGACATCATGGTTACGATTGAGTCTCATGCAATTTGGCAGTGAGGAGATGGACAACCGGAGTGGGTCAAGATCTCCCTCACGGTCTCCTTCTCAAGACATGATGGCTGCTCCTATTTTTCGACTCTGCCAACGGTGGGAAGAACTGCTATCTCAGCTACCCCATCAAGTGGTGTTGGAAGGCATAGGCTCGTTTGCAGCGGTGGTCCGTGAGATGTTGAGATTACAGTGGGAAGAGTTGCGAATTAAGAAGAGAGTGGAAAATTATCAAAGAGAGCTTGAAAGGCGAGAGTACGCACTACTAACTGTCTCTTCGAAAGATCCAGGTCCAGGCTATCATGAGGGATTCAGGTACCAAGCTCCTCCATTAAGGTCTCCCACGACTACTTCAGGTAGTGACGTGGACGATGGTCGTTTGGACATAATCGTTAGCACAGGCTTTCCAGAACGAAGTGAAGTTGGTGACAGGCGCCTAAAATATGAAGCTACGAGGAGAAAGCTTGAAGCCGAGCTCGAAGCCGAAAGGAAAGCCTATACAGATACCCGAGCGTTTACACTGAACAGTTTGCAAGCTGGTTTGCCACAGCTCTTCCTAGGTGTTCTGGCTTTCACCAATAGTGAAGCAGAAATATACGACCAATTAATCGCGATGGGTTCTCTCCCCAACAGATGATCTTTTTTCTTCCCCAACTAAAATCTTTTATTAAGATTTGGCTCACTTCGGAAACTACCTGAGGAATAATGCCAAGTGAATTTTTTAGACCCTTGGAAGCCATCGTTCAGTAGTTTTTTCTCTTAATGATTAATCTATTCTTTGCAATAGCTCGTTTCCACAGTTATTGGTGCTGCCACTGCTGTGCGCATTACTCGATTTTAAGTCCCTGCCCTTGTGTGAATTCTCAAGTTCGCGCTGAGGCCCGGTGATTAGAGTTTGCGAGATGTATATCACTGTCACTCCGAGTTCAAGAGGAATTATCAGTTCCAATCTCACATTTAACTGTCTGATTTGCCTGCTCCACGCATCGGACGTCGCAACTTGTGCACGTGTTTGCTCTAATTTTTATTTCGATCTTGACGTGGGCGTGAAGCCCACGCTGTGAGAATCCGTTCGTGCGGGACCACTTTCATTTTGTAGTTTTATCAAAGCATAGAAAGCTTGTGAGAATCATGCTTTCTTTCCACAGAGTGATGTCGAATTTTGCCATGTAATCCATTCCTCTTTACTCTCATATTCTTAAGCTTTGTGAAATATTTGGGCAGGAGCTATGTAACACAAATTTGTGGAATCGCTACAGGAAGCCATTTGTTCCCTTCCTTTTTCCTCACTGGTTCCCGACCCTCGTAATATATTGCTACCACCTGTTCTAGCGCGATCGACTGCTCTGCTAAGCTCGGCCCTCACACCGCTGCCGTCCAAACACTTACTGAAACCCACTTTTCTTTCTCCTGGTCGGTGCAATTGGCGCTCTTCGCATCGTGGTATATGCACTGCTCTGTGTTTCATGAGCACTTAGGGATGCTGTGGAGAATTTTTGAGCCAGCTATTTGATTCATTAACTTCCGGAATATATATTTTTTTGCCACGCGTGGTATTAGACTAGGATTAGGTGGATGTGAGCCAGTTGTGATGATGTTTTTGTCCCAGTGTGAGTGGGTCTGTTTTTGTGGATTTTTGTGGTTTTTATTCAGTTGAATTGGTGCATGATTGATGAATGCCGCTGGATTGGTGTCGCGAAATTCGGGACGGTGGAATTGTGTGGGAAGAATGCCGTGGTGGCGATGAATGCTCTGGATTCCTAAATTGCCTGTAGAATTGATCCAAATTTGTCTGCAGAGTTGTTCCAAAAGTAGGAAATAGCTATGCAGGGGTTCCGAAGGGGTGAGCTCTTGGATAGATTGGATGTGACGCAGAATTATTGTGAGATCCAAGGTTAATTTGCGAGAATTTCTAGGACTAAACCCAATCAGCACTTGGATTTCCACTGGGCTGAAATAGTGGAGAGTTGTACAGTAAATGTGAGAAAAGATATTTTGTCTTTTAGGACACGATTTCCCTTCTGTTGTGGTCACGGTACATGGTTTTGTAAGAGCGGTGGAGTAGCAGAGGGACGAACTTGCATACGTAGCAGGTTAAATGTTGCCAGGATTTTGTGTCTGGGGTTTTGGGTTTTCCGCGAATTTCGTCATAAGTCCTGACCGCCGATTATATTGGGCGTCAGTCCAACCTTTGCATGCTCTCTGAAGTCGAATGCAACTTTTTTTGAGTTCGAGCCACCAAGTTTTGGCTCTTATGTATAAATTTATGTACTGGATACAGGCACAAGTATGTGAATGAACAATTGGCTTTCAAAACAGAGGAAGATGAGTGAATAACGTCCATCAGATTGTGCTTGTCTTAAGAAGCTGGGATCATTTTCCATCTTTCCATATGACTGCATTGCCGCACTCAAATTGAGCTGCATTGCAATTTGTCTCTGGAACACTTCAGAGGATCGAAATCTGCTTTTCTTAGGGAATTGTCTCATGGTGACAGGCTTGGGAGGACGACTTTTCGTTGGGATACCGCGTTTCGTTGTCTCGTCTTCTTCGAAATTGGCTCTGCTATCTCTTCCCATCCCCCTCTTCTCTGGTCCCATGACTAAGGTACGTCCTCTCACATTAGGTTCTCTTTTTCCCTCTACAAGCCTCAATCACGCTCGTTCGAGAGACAAATCTCTTCAATTTTAGTATACTGTGCTCATCGAAACTTACATATGTAGGGCAAGCACAACATCAAGAAACTATGGCTTCCGAAACCGAAAGTTGAGGCAGTTGAGAAAGCGCCTGGGCGCGATGTTCCTTCTGGGTCCTCTCAACCATCTGCGTCCTTGTCTTCCAGCTTTTCTGGTAAGAAATCAGGCGATCCGCACCAGTACGACTCCGTTGTGGGTGAGCTAGCAGATCTGCACTTGGAACCAGGATTGCATTCCCCTACACAGGAATTCGAGTCAGTGAAAGTCGAATCGAATAGTGATGGAACTGCAAAGACTGTGCCTAAAAATGACACTAATCTGGAGAAGCAAGGGAAAGGGTTAGAAGCTGTCAATCGGAAGAATGAAGGACATATCAACAAAGGCGGAAAGGGGACCGTCGTGAAATCTAAGAAAGTCAATAGAACTGTAGCTCAAGCCCAGCTACTAGCAACATTTTATCCAAAATTTGAGAATGAAAAATCGGATCAAGAGGTGATTCATATGTGGTAACCCAGCAAGTGAAAAATTAGCCAGTACACTATGCATTTCAGCCAGTCTATGCATGTTTGTGATGTTTCGGAATTCAACACCTTAATTCATTAGGTGAAAGTTATAGCTGATTTTTTGGATGAACTAAGTGACTCATTATCCTACTTTCAACACCGACTTGAAGTTGGTCTACTTTGAAGAACACTTAGCATGTGTCGTTTGTTAAGTCGGACGATTATGTTATCAATTTGTACATGTTTGTGTGCAGGTGAGAATGCGGATGCAGGAGGTGGTGAGTGCCGGAAGTGGAGTTTTGGAGGTAACCTTGCGAAATTCCTGCTTGGAATTTGATGATCTTTCTTCTATAAAATCCTCTTCACCACATAATCAAATGGACTTTCCACCTTGTTTTCAACTGAGCACTGATTAACCTTTGGGGAGGTTTAATAAGAGGGTCCATTTTGTGTAAATGCTTACGTTTGGTCATGTTCTACAGGTGACTATGAAACATTCTGGATCGTTATTCCTTTACTCGGGTGACAACGGAGGAGCTTTTGCTAAAAATAGCTTTGGAAATTTGTAAGTAAACCTTCTATAACGTGAGACTATTTCGAATGGATGAGTCATTTTATTTGAAGTTAGCAAGTGCACGTGCCTTCGTATCCCAACACATGTATTCGACATTGTTTTAGTCACATCGATTTATAAAGTGAGGGACACCTCCTGTTAATCTTCGTTGAAGAGATCCTTTGAGTCCCAATCTGATGTTTCAAGCGCGTTGGCAACATAGGTATACAGCAGTAGGTGTGTATGTTTTGGGACGCACTCTCAAAGAAGCATGGGGAGCGCAGGCAGGTCAGAAGCAGCGAGAGTTCAACGCTTATCTCAAGGTATGTTTTTACGTAGTGACGCACACGTCAGTTATCAGAGATGTGCTTTCAATGGTCTCTGTCTGGTCAAACCTATGTGGCAATGCACTGCCCTTGGCCTGGCCTTAGTTGTAGGTTGTAACTTAACCCGTGTGTTTTACGGTTTGTTGCAGGGACTGATCATGTGGTATCCTCTTCTTTTTTTGATTCTTTGATTCTTGAGAAGCAAATCAATTTAATTTTAATGCTGTTTAAATTGATCTGAGGTTGCAGGAGCATCGTATTTGCATAGGAATGGAGCTAGTAACTGCTGTGTTAGGGGATCATGGGCAACGCCCTTTGCAAGATTATGGTTTGTATTCGACTTTATGATCCCCCTTCATTTACCTGACGTCTTTTTTGGCAAGATTCTACATAAACTTTGATGGATAAATCCTTTCTTATCAATTAGTTGAAGATTTGGTTGGTGGAGATACTGCTCTAGTTTAGTCAAGATCAATCTGGTGAAAGCCGGAATGTGCTCATGCCATATCGATATGGTGTTGGCAGTTGTGGTTACAGCAGTGACGAAACTGGACGGGCGTCCTCTCTTCCTGTCTACCGCTGACGTTGTTGCTTTTTGTCATCAATGGCGATTACCAACAAATCATTATTGGTTATTCTCCACCAAGTATACACCAATAACTGCATGTTCTCTGTCTTCATCGCTCATGTTTATTCTCCCATACTCAATAGGCTTAGGATTGTTCCAGAAGCTCCAAGATACGTTTCTTTTGCCTGTACAGAAGTATTCTTATTGGATTTCAATATCTAGTTATCCCAATTTCAGATTTCTTTTACTCCTTTGCCATGTCGTCAAGCATTGATGAACCCGTTTCAATCATATTCATGCTGATGTAAAGGTATTTAGGATAATAGTTTATTAGGTTGACTCATATTGTGCCATGTTGAGTTCTCTGATGCTATGTCTTGCAACGTGGAGGTCTCTTTCAGGCTCTCTATTTTGTTATCAAGTGACAACTCATGTGATAGTTTTAAGAGCCACTCGTTAAGGAAGTGATCAATGGTACTTCAAAGAAAGCACTAGATATCTTCTCGCTTAATGTTATTGTGTGGTTTGTTACATTTAGAGCTTCTGTCACGTCGTTTTTCACCGCTTATGATGCACTCTGCGAGGAAGGACTCACAAGTACTGTTGCAAAAGTATTGAATGACATTGCCGATATTTATTTATCAGGTGTTTGTCAACTTTCTCATGAAGACTTTGTTTTATTTACTTCTTTCCGTATTTTTTCCATCACGTGTTTGGGATTTTTCTAAACTTTTTACTTTCTAGGTCAAGCGTAGTATCTCCACTGTTGATGTTTCTAAAGTTTGATGTCACTTGTGGTCTGGTATGTCAGCGACCAAGAGACACGAGGATATTCAGGGGGAGATCCTTGAGGGGCTTGTAGCTCGTGTAGTGACTCCTGAGAGTGCAACCTCCTTAAGTGAAGTTCTTATTAAGTTTCCACCTCCTCCATCTCCTGAAGGTAAGGGTTTCCGCTTCAATTTATCTTATTTTCTACTATATTAATTCTTCAAATCAGAGCTGGGTTTTTGGTAAGGAAATATGATTTTGAATTCCAAGGGATTTGAATTTGTCCTCTGTTCAGCTTTCATCCACAGAGCATCTGCTTAGGTGAAATATCGCTAGATGGACTATGCCCGTCACTTTTGCCATCATGTTGAATCAATAGTATATGCTGATGAAACTTTTTTGGCCAATAGACCAGGAACTAATTTTGCTACTTGGTAGTGCTGCTTGTGGGGTCTAGCTTATTCTCATACTTAAATTCCACTTCCAGCATGGATCTCTTGCTTAGTTGCATTTCATGGTTTTTATGGCAACGTACTGCTCCCGAGACTATCAAAATCGACTTGTTCCAGAATTTTAGTGAAGGTCTGAATCAACTTTTTACATTTCTTATTTTCTTTCACGTGTGCAGTGTTTATCCGTGAGAAAGGACTTCGTGAAATATGTGCATCTAATCGAGATGCTGTATCTAAGGTATGCCTAAGCTACTACTATGCGATCGAGAAGATATAGATGTTAGACCTAACCATGGACTTGTGCTATTCACCTAATCCAAAGTAAAAGTTTGTTTCGCCTATTCATCTTACTAATATTTCAGTGTTTTTGATGGCATGTTCATATAGCTTTCTTTTTCGTTTCGTTTCATTTTATTTTATTTGTTCCGAGAAGTAATTGTGAATGTGGTTCTTGTTGCAGCAAGTTGAGGCCCTTTTGAAAGCTGTAGGCTCAGACTTCTGCTCAGATTGGACAGATTGGCTTGACGATAAAGTTTCAGGACATGAAGATAAGAAGAATACTCCTTTGAGTCCAATGCTAGAGACCTTTCTTCATTCAAATCCTGCCGATTACTCTACGAAAAAACTTCAAGTAATTGACCCTCTCCTGCTCCTGGTTAATCGACTACATTTCAGATAACTACTCCCGGTGATCTCTGACATAGTTGCTGAAGGTTCTGAAATTGTATGTTACAGTACTGAAAGTTTTATGTTTCCATACATTCTTACTCATCTCAAAACACTTCCTCTGTTCAGGAGATGATTCAAGTGATTCGTAAGTCAAAATTACCTGTCCGATTTAAATGCCACACAATTAAGTCCAGTCAGAGCACAGACGATCAGGACCAAGTTATTTCCCATTTCAAGATGATCGTACACGTCTTATCTGATTCTGCATTTCGACGGTACCAGAGAGAAATGAGGTGGCTTTTTCTTTACATCGGACTAGTTTTCCACATTGAAACTTTGTGATTGTGATCAGGCATCATCTTGACATCATTGATCTGTGGTAGAGGAATATTCAGTGTTCTTGTATATCCAGCCTGCTATGTCATATGGACATTGTATTAAATAGCTTCTCCCATCCCTTCTATGTCTGACATTCGGTTTATTGGAACTTGATAGAATGTTGGATTTCGTTCATTCTTTTTCATCCTGTGATAATTTTGTATCTGTTGGTATTATTCAGAAAGCATGCTCATCTATGGCCTTTATACAGAGGTGCGTTTCATGATGTTCAATTATTTCATCTATTTGTGCTTGAATTGTTATCGTTGATTAAAACCAATATTCATATTTCAATGTGGATGTTGTTTTGGTCCTGAACAGTGAGGGCTTGACTGCAGGTTTTTTCGTGGATGTGTGTGTGCTCACTGGCAGCAACGCTCCTGAAGTGATGAACATGAAAAGCCTAGCAGATGATAGTGATCAGGAAACCAGTGGCTTTGGTGAAAGTGAGCAAAGTGACTCCGTCGATGAAACAGAAAATTTAATGTTGAAGATGAAATTTCTACCATATAAGGTAATGCCTTGTAAGAAGTTTTTGTATGTTGAGTGATGTAAGGTTTTGAAAGTAAATTTGTTTGTCTTTATTGAAGCAAGCTTCCGCATCTTTGACTATGGGTGAGGTGAGTTTGTAATTATTGATAACCTATGAGCTTTTAATCTAAGGAGCCATTTGATCATTCGATGCTGGTAATTGCAATGTGGTTTGTTTTCAATATAGATCCGCACTTTCCTTATTCGGAATGGCATTAGTGCTCTTTTTGATAAAGGCGTAGCTGATTATAAAGAGTATTACACCAGGTGAATTTGCAACACCTTTTTCTTGTGTTTTGTAGTCCGCATTCGAGATATCAAGTATCTTTTTACATGTGGTTTCACCGATTCTACAGTGTTTTGCTGTACCTCTAGGTATTTCTAGGTAGTCGTGGTAGTAATTTCCTTGATTATCTTCCAGAAACTTATTAAAAGGTTAAGCTTCGACTCTTTGAACACATTTTTAGAGGATACTATGGTACCTTTGTTGGTAAGAATAGTTTTGGGGCTAGACGGAGCTATTAATGTTATGGTTGTGGTGCAGGCAGATGCAAATTTGGGGCACGTCGGCAGAAAAGCAGATGGAGCTTACTAAGCTTCTAAATGAATGGTTAGCCGTTAAAAATGCATATTTGTGTTTAGTATTTTGAACTTTGTTGTGCTTTTGGTCATATTAAAATCTTGGCTTCCTATCTCTTAAAACAACTTCGATCTTCTGTAGTTCATCCTGGCATGCCCAAGTGTGGTGCAACCAGCAGCAGCCTCTGGAGAATAGAATATTGCGTAGTTTTCTCGTATGCGTTTTGGTCATATTTAATTGAGCAATGTGCCGAAAACTCGAGCAGTACTTGTCTCAGATATTGATTGCAAGTCTCGTCAACAAATAATTCGTTTATCTTCCCGCATTAGGACCCCGATGTCGTAGCAGTCTCTGATGTCATTAATCGACCAACTACACTGAGAATCAGCGACCGTTGCAAGGATGCCTTGACAAGTGTAATTTGATACTTTAAATTGAAATAATGAAATTAATTCCATGTCATTCTTTGTATCCCTTTATAGTGTTTTTACGGTACTCTAGTTTTGCAGGGCTATGTACATCAAGAAGAAAATGAATGGAAAAAAGCTAAGCAGCAATACATACTTAACTGAAGCAGAACCATTTCTTAAGCAATTCGCTGAGCGAAGTGTCAAGAATAAGAAACTAGTCGGGGCAGCTGGAATAGACATTGATGTCGATGATTTCTTAGCACAGAAAGCAGCCCAGGAAGGCGATGAGGATGAGTTTATTTCCGACAGCGATCATGCACCCGTTCCGACTGCGCCGAGCCCTCACGCTTCAGCAATCAAAGCTCAAGGAATGGTCGTCTTCTTTCCTGGTACTGATCAAGCTTCACTCGTTTTGTTCCTGCCTGGTTCTGGAAAGAGCAATGATTCAGAAATAAATTAAGCCCTCCTCTTTTTTTTTTCTTTTTTTCCTGCACATTATGTGTGACTGTTTGGAAGTTTTTCAAGTGCATTGCGCATTTTCTTACTGAGGTACTTTCTTGGTCGTCGTTCAGGAATACCTGGCTGTGCCAAATCTTGTCTCTGTAAAGAAATTATAAATTCTTGGTCTGGATTTGTAATGCACAACCTGATGGGTGATGTGATAAAGGGTATGCCGCTCATTCTGGAACCTCAATATGCAGATTGGATTTTTCAAAATTTCTGCTTTTTGTATCGCAGCTATATAATGTTGAGAACGCTTCACTGGCCTACTACTCTCGTGATCATCAGTATGTGCACTTTATTTCCATGTTCAACGCTGACATTGGTTCTGTCATGTTGGTTTTGTCCAGGAAAGTACTGGCAGAAGCTTAATAATGATAGGACTAAGAATCCTCGCAGAATCACCTTTGCTGATAAGAATGCACCGAACAAGGAGGTGTGGCAAACGGTAAGTAATTTAGTACACAGATCCGCAGATATTTCATTTATTGCAGATGAGTACTTAGAATGTGGTATATATGCCCCCCTCTGCCTTCATAACTAAAATCATTCAAAAGGCACTTCTTATCCAGTCCAAAATTCCTTCAAATTGCTATTGACAGATCCAGAAGATATGTAAGACCACCACTGCGATTGGTGTACCTGTCGTACCGGAATCAGAGGGTTAGTTTATACCTCAGTCTTTGTATCGTTCTTTTAGCTGTCCTCTTAGTTCACTCAATTTAGCTTGTAGTCTACAATAGTTCTTGCAATCTTAAGTGCCTCACAAGTGGGAATATATGCAGGCACAGGGCTCAATCCATATTCGCTGGATATATTGGCAGTATTTATATATAGAGTCCTTCTGCGGAGCAACCACCCCGTACAGTTTTCAATAAACTGGAGACCTATTCCCGCTCTTTTATGCCTTCATGCTTGTTGATTTGGAATGTGTGTTTTTTCAGCATTGTTGTTCAACACCGGCTTCAATTATCGGAAGCTCACCATGTGTTCTTACGTACAGGGGAGGTTGGACAAAAGTACACCGAATCCTGGATACGTGTTGCTGATGTTTTACAATCTATATGATGGCATGGTGAGAATTTTCAGCAAACAACATAACAGTGTGGCTAGGGAATGATGCATAATTCCTTTATCATGTTTGAGTTTTTCCGTTCTGACGTCTCTTGTGAGACGTTTTTGTTTAAGAGGTCTACCACTCACGTGGACCAGAAATGCTAAGTAGAGTTAGTGTAGGATATTTAGTCGAAAGAGACGCTGTAATGTTGACCAGCATATGGCAAGGTAATGGCCTGTTTTTTTTTTTTTGAAGAAAAAGAAGAAGAAGAAGTTCGTCAGTGTTGATAATTTCTTGAGGATTCCTCACGAAGAGATGTGAAGTCTAGTGGATTGAGCACCTCGTTATTTGTGTGGGTTTTTTGGTTTGGCTTCCTCAGGATCGCGAGGAGTTTGAAGAGGAGCTGATACGTCGATTTGGTCATATTGTGAAAATGCCTGTGCTGAAACACAACAGGTCAGTTTGTGCACTGTAATTGAAGATGGATACGTGAGATCGCTCTCTGTTTTGAATCCTTATTCCATTTTCAGATCTAGCAACATTGTGTGATGGTGTATTTGTTGTATCTATATCTTTACTATGAAACGCACTCCTCAAATTAGTTCGTCACCTTTTGTGGATTTTGGAATGTGAGGTAATCTTGTTTGTTGGTTTTTCTCTGCCATTCATTTGGATTCCTTTAATCCATTCTTCAAATGAGCTCTGTAATGGTTGTACACGTATGCCGCAGGACACCTATGCCTTCAGATGTTTTGAAAATTATTGAAGAAGGTCTAGATCTCTATAGGCGTCACACGGATAAGTATGGAAGGTAAGAAGGACCTTTGAGTTATTGTGTTGAGACTACCATCTCGCAAATGCTCGTTGGTGTAATGAGTGAGAAATACAAAAGGAACATACTTCGATTTTCTTGCCTTATCAAACTGGGTATGAACTTACGGCGCACTGTGTACACTGCACATACTTCCTCAAAGGAATAGAATAGATGTTTTTTCATGTTCCGCATGTTACGTTTTTGCAGGTTGGAAAGTCTTAATGGCTCTTTTAAAGATGAATGGGTGCAATGGGAGAAGCGGTTGAATGAAATATTGTTTGCACACAAGGAACACCTTCTTGAAATTCAGGTTCTCCCTCCAAACGCATAGTTGAACGGGATGTAGGGTGTGCTCATCTTGCTTGGTCTATTTGCTGGTTATGTCATCCTCTTTTCGTATAGAAAATTTCACTAAATCGCGACGTCTAAGTTTACAATAAAACTCTCGAGTATTTACACCTTTCTCTACATGTAATAGGTACCATTTCAAGAAGTAGTCGAAAATGTGCAAAAGCAACTGACGGCTATCACTAGTGGAGATTTTATTATGCATGTTCCTGTTGACAAAGAGGAGGATCGGTCGTTCCGCACTCTTAGATTTGTTGCTGTTACTTTGAACACCGATGAGGTTTTGGAGGTTCTCCTTCAGGTAGGCATTTAATGAATTTGGTAATTGCTGCTGATGCCTGCATCTTTAGTTCTTGGTATATCAACTGAACTATTCTTTGTACCCATGTACAATTTCGAGGAGTAAATCTACTTAAGAGACGAGCACAATATTTAGGTATAGATCTTTGTATGTGTTGAATATGTCCATATTAATTGACCTATTTGTAAATGCTCCTTTGTCATCACCAACAAAATGTTAACTCAAATGACCACTGCAGGCATCAGTAGAAAACCCTGAAGTGAAAGCTCTGTTGTCAACAAAAAACTTGAAAGAGTCCTTAGGGAAAGCTCATGTCACTTTGGCACATAAAGCTTCTCATGGAGGGGCTGCCTTGGCATCTCTTGCTCCCTTACGCGGGTCTGAAACTCAAGTGCAGCTTGTGGCTCTCCTCTATTCCAATGAGCTAGTTGCTTTGGAAGTTAGTTTAACAACTGAGAAGAATACGTCGCTTTCAATGAACGAGTGGCCCCATTTAACGGTACAGGAAGCACAACTCTGATTTTACAGTTGTTTTGATTTAAAATTGAATACTGCATGGACATTATTAGAATTTCAGGCCAGATTGATGGTAATAGATCCTAATGAGTTGATAATTTCTGAAGATTAGCTTTCGTTGGTACAATATTCGTAAGAATAGTCCCTGAGTCTTGCTTGTGTTCATTTTTATGCAGGTATGGACTGCTCCTGGGATCAAAGCCAAGGAGGCGAACAATTTGCCACAGATGGTGAAAACAGGGAAAGCTAGTCGCCTGGATTTGAAACCAGTCACTTTATCTGGGCAAATCAACTTCTACTGAGAAACTTGGGTATTATGTAAATGGTGTACTTTGATGGTTCATTGTGTTAATTTGCGAAGGATGATATCAGGCTCAGACTCGATATAGTTATGAAAATGTATGACGTTCATATGTATGATACCACAAGTATCCCACATGCAATATTATTTAGTTGTTTTTGTCAAATTTATATTCGCAGTCATAATAAAATAACTACAAGATTATATCTAGTTCGATCATGAATCTCAAAAACTCAGGTTGTTTCCATCAATGAGAAATCTTTTAGTTTTAAAGTTTTAAAAATATCATATATGCATATATACATGCATATCTACATCTTATCATTTACGTTGGTATTGAAGTAAAAATGGCATCTGAGTGGAGGATCTCCTTGAACAATTAACTTCAAAACACTTCAATTCCCAAATTTATGTTACAGCAAATTTGGTTTTGATTTGAATGTTTTATAGGTTCTATTTTTAAAAAATTGGATCAGAAAAATTGAAACAACCCAACATCGAAATGGGAACATATGTTTCTTTTTACTGATTATGATTCTAAATAGCCATATATGTTTTGATTGTTTTAATAAGATAATGTATATTCATAACAAAAAAAGAGACTAGAATGAATAATATGATTTGTTAAAAAATGTGAAAAGAAATGGAGAATTTTATCATGTTATTTGAACTACACAGTCAATTACAAATTCAAGCGGTTAGAATATTTTATAATGGAATTAACACGCAATTTTGAATCCAGCATTTTGGGTAGAATAATATGTATCAGAATACTAGGAATTCGATTTGATTATTGGATTGATCAGATGAAATTATGCTAAATTAATGAAGCACACTGTGATTTATTTGTACTTTGATTATAATATTATAAATCTTCTCGCTTAGCCATAGATATTCCATAACTTTTTTTAAAAAAAAATTAACATAACAATTAAATTGTGACATATTGCCAAACTTGCACACAATATACATACAAGTTACTGAGAGTGTGGAGGAAGGGCTTGATAACGATGACGGTGCTGAAGATTGACGGGTTACTTTCTAAAACAATGATATAATAGATGATGTTTAAGTACCATTCATTTATATTTCGGCCGGATTGACTGCAGAAGTTTTAAAGCTGTGTTTGGAGATTGTTTCGCTTATTGAGCTGTTTGGTTTCCTTTTACAGCGAAAGACCGTGAGCTGTTCAGTTTTCATGGAGCTACTTGTGGCCATTTCCTGTGTTTAATATAAGCACCTCAGAGAGTACAGCAATTCTGGAATATGATTTAGTAAGAAACCCAATGTTTTTCTGTCTTCTGGCTTTTTCAGGTGTATACTACTCTGGTGCCTCGTGTATATATACTTTTGGGCTCATTGGAAGCCGGGGAAACAAACCGCTTTCAGGACCTAGTACATTCTTTCAATCCTTCTCTTTGGTGGTTACTCATCTGCATTTTGGTTAGTGCAACAGTTTCTTTTGTGGTGGATCCATACATGTACCAGAGATGGAACAGTTTTTAGTTGCTTGATCTAATATTTTTCCTCAGAGCTTGTGTCGTTTAGCACTCTGGATTGTGGGGACTACCGATCCAAGTGAAGATTATACCTACACTTTGCAAAATGGACTGAACTTGCGACTATAATTATTTGTATTCAAAAGACAATGCCAAGAGTCCAGGTGGAGGAGATTAACTGAAACGGAACTCCTAGAATGGTATGTAGTGTGTTTTATTTCAAAATGAGAAACAAAAAAACAGTTAATATGATGAGCCCTCTAAGGTCAGCATCTCGTAATTGTTTGTGCTGACATTCTGCGATGGTCGATGCCCACTTTCAGCGAGAGGTTGGTTATAATCTTTCAACACACTGTCGATATCCAAGTGATACTGCAGTGTGTAGCTTTTGTGCAGAGCTTTGTAGCACACAGTTGGTGACAAAGAGCTCTCTCGCATCTGACTAATGCTTTGGCCTCATTCATTTGTCGCAAATTTTGGATTGTAATCGTTGGTCCTTTGCAATCATGGTCTGCAGCATTTATGTGGATCCATCCAAAACACTAGTCACTCACCTATTATTTTGTCCAGTGCTCAGATGGGAAAGAGAGAAAGAAAGAGAAAGCCTTCACAGGGCCACAGGAAATGGGGCTCAACTTCTCATGCTGATAAGGCAACTTAGCAGATGCTGCTGCAGGGCCACAAGCTTCTCTCCGCTGCCAGGATCTGCTCACTGACATCCACGCGAACACGAGTTCAATTCAGATACATCAGAAAACAACTGAAGCAGAATCAAACAAAGGCAACCTTTCTTCTCTGGGGTCTTTCTCAAATTCTTCCAGCTTCGGAGCTTGAGCGCTTAAGAGAATTTTAGAATTAGGGTTCCCTGTCTGTTATGGAGAAATCAATTAAAACCCTGATTTTTAGGGTTTCAGGGTTCGCTCGCCTGCTAGTAACCCAATAAGAAGGAGTCTGCCCCATTTAGCATGATCCCCAAGTTTATGTTTTCCATGTGGACTTTAATCAACCAAGGCATCATGGCCTCAACATTATCATTATAGGGGGAGTAAAGGTACTAGTCTTGGATTTTGTATTGAGGAGATTTTGAATTGAAAAATGAAACCCATTTTTTAATACACGTGTACTCTAAATAATTTTGTGTGAAAAAGGCTGCCCAATTTGTAGATTTGAAGATGTTAGCTGGGTCGCTCCTCAAGTTATTTCAGATCATATTCTTCCCATGATGTTTTTATTTTTATTTTTATGTAATTTTTATAATTATATTTCGAAAAAAAAAACAAACAAACAAACAAACCAGTAATTCGTACAATGTTCGTGTGGTATAAAATAAGATTAAATAATACATTTTTCAGATTTTTCTGCATATGGGCCAGGCTACAAGCTCAATTGCTATAGTAACAATGAACAAGGCTACAGTTGTTGCTATTCACTACAAATTGTTCATTCTTGTGTCAAAATATCACTTTTTATCAAACGAGGAACATTAATATTCATTTATACATACACTCAAACAATATAATAATCATAAAAATTTAAAAAATAAAAAAGTTTATTTCTTTGCTATCATCATAATTTTTTTTTTTTTTTTTTGAAAAAGGCTCTAAATTCTCTCAAATTTCAAAATAAGAAACACAACAGTTGCAATAGGACTTTATGCATGTGGTTTATCTTACGTCGTTTCATAACGCTAAACAAAAAGCGATAACATCTTGTGTTAATCATTAATGAAAAATCTCCTAAATTTCTCTCAGGATCCAAAATAGTAGTAAAAACATAAGAAATTCATTAACAAACTTTTAATATAATGATTCTGTCAGCAACCCCCCCTCCACAACATTAAATAACACGAGAACTTGGAGATTGGCCAATTGCCTTGCAAGCACGTCTTCAAAGTGGTGAACTCGTTTCCAAGCTGACGAACGTGGGGGAACAGAAGTGGCAGCCTCGGGCACTTGTTCCCAATGGTTCCCGATGGCACCTGAGGCGCGGAAGGATCAGCCAGTCCACCGTGGACTCCCAACGCCACGCCACTGGACCAAACCCGAATGGTCTCACGTGGACGTCGTACGTGGCAGGGGGTGTCCAAAGGGGTCCTCTTCCCACTTGACCGCCCCCTTTGGCCGCCTAAAGTGTGGCCGCAAAGCATCTGCCAACTGGCTGGCAGCCTTTGGGTGGGACTCCTCCCCCTCATACACCGTCAGCAGCACAGCTGGACAAGGGGGTCCTAGGAAAGAAGTCCGTGGGGAACGGGTTTCGTTCACATGAGGGGAACGTGGGCGTCCCAAGTCTTCTTCACCTACACGGACGGTCACCGAGTGCCCTTTCGAAGTACCCCCTTTCCTCATCAGTGCATGATTTTATTATTATTTGACTGTTTTTTTTAGTAGGTTTCGGTACGTCTTCATGATTTTATAAGATGCCACTATTGTTTGAAGTTTGACTACTATTCACTCCTTGGAAAGAATTAAATGCGTGTAGTAGAAGTACTGTAGAGTTTTATTTTTTATTGCGTCCAATAGTGAAAAATAAAAATAAAATGTGGTAGATGTTAACAAATTATCTTTAGGATCTTTTTGCAGTTTGACTGGGTTGAGACATTGTAAGTTAGTCACAGACAGTCTTTCAACGCCCCCAACAAAAATCCACACTGCAGCCAACTAGTTGCCATCAATATTCATTTATGAAAAAAACCCAGGTCCGTGACATGTTTGAAGGTCAGTCGTCTGTAACTTCCTCTGGAATCGAATAAGAACCTTAGATAATCGGAATTCGCAACAAGAATGAAAACTTCAGAAACAACATTTCCACCCCAGCAGCACAATTTATTTTATTTTATTTTATTTCATTTTTTTTGAGTACGTGTGTTCAAAAAAATTCCCTGTTCAGTAGCAGTGGCTAAGACAAAGTTGGGGGAGTGGGGATGGAAGGAGATCTAACGCAGCCAAGTAACAATCGAAGATACTCGTATAATACCCTGGAAACTGTCAATATTAATCCATTGACAGAGTGGCACCGAATAGAAAGAAAGAGATAGGGGTTGAATTCTAAACCCTTCTACGACCCCAATAATGAATATGCCCCACATGCGGCAGTAATGTTGGCAATCTGAGGAAACGTATTTCATAGTGTAATATATATACATATTTGTGGAAGCCATGCCGCAGATGAATCGTCCAGCTCGACGTGACTTCCCATCACAGTAACCCAGTTCAAGAAGAAACCCTTAATTCGGCAATATCTGCAGACTTGAGCTAGAGGGGCAGCAACTACCGCGAACGCCATGAAGGCCAAAGAGACTGTTCCCTTCTCCCCCACGGAAGCTCTGCCACTGCCGAACAACAACACGAACAACAACAACAACACGAACAACAACAACAACAACAAAAACAACAGTGCTTTGACTTTCAAATCACCTCAATTGACCGCCGCTTGTGTGGACTTTGCCGAGAAACCTCGAACGCATTCACACGCACAGGACCACACACACAAACATACACTTAAACCCAAGCCCATATGCCGCGAGCATATCTAATATTCCCCATCCAAAGGTGATGAGACTGGTGGGGGCAGGCAACGCGCCGCCTACAAGCATCGTCAATTAGTGTAGCCCAACTAGTGTTTACACGGTGACCGTGCGTCATAGTGGGGGCAGCAGCGTCTCCCGCGAAGAGCCGCATCGGGTGGCGTGAGGGGTGTGGAAAGAACTGGGCCGGGCCGGGCCGGGCCCGGGTGGTGGTGACAGCCTGGCCCGCCGCATTCAGCGGACATGAATGACGTGGCCATAACAGCCAGTGTGGTTTTGATTCTCTAGCACTCATGGATTCCCTCGACAATTTCTGAGCTAGTAGTAACCAACTAGTAAGTTACTAGTCTCTTCCCCCGCAGGGGAAGTGGAGGGTCTTCGTTTTACCACCTTATTCTTATTATTCTTCCTCCGCCTCTTACTCCACTTCCTCCTCATCCCCATATTTGCCCCTGCACGCTATCCCATGCCCTCATTTTGGTAGGTTTTGGGGGATTCCGGGTGCGTTGAAGCGCGGCGTTCGTCGGGCGGGGGGCCTCGAGGTAAAGCGGGCGGGATCATGTCGTCAAGTGCTTGGAGCCGCAGCGGAGGTGAAGGCGCCCGAGTTGTGTCGAGCATGTGCGAGCCCGATGGTAGTAAGGATGGGGTGGAAGCGGAGAAAGCCCGCGTCGATGGTGGTGTGAGGGATGGTGGAGTGGGAGTGTGGAGTGATGGATCCTTTTGACAGTGCTTGAAACTTGCTTGCCTACTGGCGGCGTGGTGATGAGTAAAGAAGGGAGGGAAGAGTGAACGAAGGAAGGGAAAGGGAAGGGACTTGTATAACTTATCGGAATTTTTTAGAGGGGATTACAGGGAGGGTGTAAAGTGCCTTGTGTGTTTTTAGAGTTTGGTTGAATCGTCCATGTTTGGCTGGAACAAGCCGGCCTCGCCGAGGAGCAGTGTGACGACGTCGATGGAGCTGGGCGCGTCTGCGACCGAGCTCTCTCACTTCGATGAGAGTCTCTCGTACACCAGTCTGCGGGATCTGTTGCCCTCAAGCGGGCCAGGGAGTCCCCGGCAGAGAGAGACTGAAGAAGGTGCTGAGAAGAAGGAGCCGGGGGATGATCGCCCCGCTATCAAGAATCGACTGGTGGAGCGCGCTGCTCGCGCGTACTTACGTCCCACCAGCGACGGGCTCAAGAACCCGTCGGATAATATGCAACTGGCCCGGTACTGGCCTACTTTGACATGGGAGGATCTCACTCGCATGGTCCAGTCCTTGTTCAAGCTGAAGCTCAGCGCCCAGCGTCATCGCCCGCGTCCGCACTATACGCTTCACCTTCGTGATCACGTGCATGTGCACCCCGTGGTGATGTGATCCTGCGCCAGTAGATCACTCCGCTTCTCATTCATGGAAAAGAAAACAAAATTGCGGCCGATAGGTTTGACAAGGCAGAGTCCCAGATGGAGTCGCTGAATTAGTTAGTTACTTGGCGTCAGTGATGTCTGGGAGGAGATTACATGAAGATTTTCGACTTGTGACTGGGTGGGGGAGCACAAGGTGTAGGTTGGATTCAATCTTGGATTTTGCGAGTGGGATTTAGAAGGAAGAAGTATTTATATGAATGTTTAGGTTCTAAACAAGGTTTACAAAAGTTTTGAGGGATAGAAATTGTTTTGGCTGGTTTACGGTGAGATTGCTATCAACCTGATTCGTTTTACATAATTAGGTTCTGGTTTCTCGCTCTCACCTTTTACCCCCAATTTCCGTTCTCGTTGAGACTGTGAAGCAGGCTCCGAATTTTTAGGGGCTCACTCCTAGCGTAGACTACTTCTTCCCGCGGAGACTCTTTCCACTGTCCCTAAAACAAGACTGGTGCCAAGGTCGGAAAAGACGATAGCCTGGATTGTGGTTGTGAGTGCTTTCAGTAAACTTTCCTATGTGGTTGTATAATAAGCCATCGAGAGAAGTGTATACACGTAGCTTAGAGAGAAGGAAGCAACAGGGTGAAATAAGAAAGAGAGGCACTTAGTGCAAACTGCCTTTTCTGTGTTCAGAATAATTCAGTAGTGTTGGGTTTAGTATGGCTAGTCAGGTATAGTGAATCTTATCTGAATACCTTGATATGCACATTATGGCTCTTCGGTCCAGAGTCACTAATTTACCTCGAATGCCACGAGGAAATAATTATCAATGTAACGCTTTGTTGTGCTCAAACTCACGGGTAATTATGTCGTTTGTGAAAATCAGTTAATGATTCGTTTTGTGACATGGATAGTTGCCTATTGAAGAATGTCACTGCTAATTGTATATTGTCATCACACGAATGTGCAACTGGATACTTTTTCAATGTGTAATTAAGAGCCACCTGTTAATCCTGTTCTACTGCACAGTGGAAGGATGAAGGTATCCTGTAAGCAGTCAAAATAGTTTGCAATATACGCATTTTCTAACAAATCCCTCTTAAATGAGAAATTATTGAGAGTTTGACGTCTACTATCATTTATTTCTCACTATATTGATTGTACATGTACTGTACAAATGTGCCATAATTCTGTCAAATCGTTGTTAGTAAACACACAAAATAAATGACCAATGTCAATCAATTACACTTTTTAAACAGGGTATGCACTTTCAAACGTAGAAATAACTTTGTTTTGGATTGACACAAGAAACTTTCATTGGTTCCATTCATTTCGTGACGTACAACTGTGCTCTTGCTGCATAGCCAAAAGTGTGCGAATGGGAAATTCTACCTTACAAGAACTCCCACAGATGCCATTCACAGCGATTGGCATTGCATTGAATATACAGTATAATCCCCTAAGGGAAGGTAAAAATAAGATTTGAAATACAAACTAACCGTAGATACCTTTTTTTTCTACAACAAGACCGGAAAGGTATCCCTATCTATACCAGCAAAGGAGGCTACCTAGAGGGGCAAGCCAACCCGAGTATTTGAAAATTAGAAAGACAATCCAACAAGGAAATGAGGCGATGAGATGTGTACTTCCAAGGAAACCGGTTGTCAAGACTAGCGTTACGATTGAAGAGGTCCGGGGCCGATAGTTACTTTCTCATCCAACCTGTGAATGTTATGGCCGAGTGGTTTGATGCGGTTCCTAGGCTTGTAGAGAGGCGCTTCAAGTTCATGCTTACTGCTCACCGAGTGGCTACTACTTTTATTGAGCTTGAGAAACTCTTTGTTGGAGGCAGCCTTGCTGTTGTCGAATTCTTGTGACCTGCTGAGACCAGGTATAATTTTCCTTTGAGTCCATCCGCTACTGATTTCACGCAACATATCTTTATCCTCTTGAGAAAGCTCGGGCCTGATGACACCAGCAGGCGTAGGATAGAGCAGGCCTTCGGTGAACTTGGCTGCAAGCATTCCAAAAGGAGGCGGAGATACGCTCCGACCTGAGAGTAGGAACTGCTGAATGGGTGCCTTGACGTTAATATTGCAGGGTGATCTCTGTGGTGACGGATCTCCATTGTTGATGTTCTTGCTATTTCTTGCCCGGCTAACTAGATGATGTAGTCCCACAACAAGCTCAAGAATGTAGTCCTCAACTACTTGCTGATTTGCATGGTGTAGAGTTTGTAAAAGGGTTATTTCGACGCAACCCAGGGCTTTCCGGTCTGCCGGCGACCTGACATTTAAATGACAACAAAGAAACTTATCACTTCGCACAATCTGGTTGTCGGATTGAAACACGTGGACAGGAGAGGACAAGGACTATCACAATCAGCTTCAGTACCTCACATATGCTTCATCTAAATAATTACAAAATGAGTGCCAAGCGCAGGGAACCTGGAGTTTCCAACGATTATCAAACACAACGTATGAAACGATGAAGGACGCCACTTATTCCAATTATTCCAGTTCATACAAATCACTCTGAACTTGGAATATAGTCGCTTCAGAAAATCCTAATAGAGATGCAACTCAAGTCCAGGAATAACGTTACAGAAGAACGCAAACAGAAAGGAGTGTCAACTTACCCAGCATTCGCCCACTCTCCAACCCATCCAAAGCCATGATGCTTCCTGTGGCAACCCAATTCAAAGCATTAAAGAGATCGTCCATGATTTGAGTATAACCAAACAAGATACTCATTCACGAAATAGCAGTAACTATAACACAAGAGGATCTAAATTGCAGCAAGACTTGCTAGAAGCGAACAGTTATGTTAGGCAATCTAACTTCCAGCTTGCAGGCGATGAGAAACCAATGACATCCCAAAATATGATACAGAAAACACCGCACACCACTAGGGAACTTTGAGCGGTTTGCAAACTTACTTTGTGGTATTGGAAGCAACAGCAACGATCCAGTTCAGAAGTTTAAATAGTTCGCTTTTAATCTCGTCGATGCTCAGCTGCAGTGAAATGCAACTCAAAGAGTGAGTTGCAGTAATAACTTCTTACCAACAGCACTCTAAAACTAGTACAATTACTCCTTCAGATACGATGTACACAGACCCTATCTGGAAGAAAAAAAAAGCACCAAGACCTGCTACAGGGATCGATAAATGAATGGACTCATGCAAAAGCAAGAAATTAACAGAAGCTTTCTTTCATTTCTTTTTTTGAACTGAAGGAAAGCACAGACCCCAAACGGGTGTCCTTACAGCTAACATGCTACTGGCAGTGCTCCACAAAACCGATGGATTGAAGATTTTTTCTCGGAACTCAAGAAACCACTGAGATAAGTTACTCACTTCATTCTTGTTTCGATAGTGCTGCAGTCGAGTTCTCAAACCAGCTTTGACGGCTGGGGGTAACCCTTGATAGAGATTGTCCCTCGTGTTTGGGGGTACTGAACCAGGTCTTAAAACCTGCACAAAGATAAATGAACAAACTGAGCAAACAGCAATAGGAAATTAAAGGAGCACACCAACACAAAAACAAAACCAAATTTGAAAAGAATATCAAAAGAGAACAAATAAAAAATTAGACTTGCACACAACCTTCATTTAGCCCCTATAACTTCCAAGCAAAGCAAACATCAAAAAATAAAAAGAGAATCCAATGCACTCTATTTTATTTGAAGGTCAGATGGCACCAAGACACAGACCAGGCTGTCAATCTGATTGATGATATTAGCATAATGCAGGGCCAAACCCGATGGACCCAATTTTCCAGCATTTCTTTTTTCCTCCTCCTCAGGCTTCTCAAGAAACACTGCATGCAGCCACATGTATATGTTATAAAATTCACCATACTACTTCTAGATTTTTGACTGCTTGTATTTAGTATATTAATGAGCTGCACACTGAGATGGCGTACTGAGCTGGCACACAGAAGTAATTACTGGGAGACTGGTGAAAGCTCCCAAAATGTTAAGTACTTGCAGGAGTACATGGAACAAGGTCAAACATATATAAAGATAGAATACCACAAACATATACCGTATGGTCCGAACTTCTCTTGAATCTCTTGGTACAGATAATTTGCAATATCCACTAGTTGCTCCATGACCTGTCACGACGACATTGTTACTGAAACAAAACTTGGACGTGGGCTTGATGTTCGAAATATTCCAGGTCCTAGGTCAACTTCACATTCATCCTTTGTAATAGAATTACGTCGGCAGCATGAAGAAAACGTTACGGGCTCCTCGCTATATTGGTCACGCTGAAGGTTGAAGAGTTGAAGGATGAACAGTACCTCTTCGAGATTCCTAGACCATAGAGACCTTTTTTTGAGTGCCTCTACATGCTTTTCCTGGCTTTTGACTTCGCTCCGCAGAAGGGCGATAGATTCTCCTGATAAATTAATGGCCAAAAAGCATAATGTAAGCTCCATGAGAATAACATCTGCCGAGTATTCTAAAGGAGCGTAAAGCCAACCATGTTTCAGTTTCTTTTGAACTTAAGTAAATCAAGGCAACTCTAGGGTCGACGAGATGCGTTAAATGATCAATGAGATGTATCAAATGGGTGCTACAAGCACAACACAAAACCTTAGAGTGCCTCCCTAACCGATTATAATACCTACATGTACACGAATGCACTTCTAACGACATATGCGTAACAGTTTTGAAAATATGCAGAAAGCTTCGGCAATTGTGCATCTTCGATTAATTTCAACGCCATACATACTCAACCCACCATAAGAGAGAAAACTGGAAAAGAGTTGTGATGCATAATTTCTTCCGCTATATCACGGCAATCAACAAGAGCTGCGTAGCAATCAGTATTTTTTGTTAATGGAAAGGCATATGGCAAAGAGTTGATTTGAAGCGCACCTCCACGAGCGGGAGCAACGGCAGACTCTTCTTCTTGTTGCTTACGCTTCAAGTCCGTTCGAAATCGATCAAGCGCATGAAGCTCGTGATATAAATCCTGCATCCATAGAAAGTAGTTCATCAGAGCTTATCATTTTTTCAGTTCGTCCTTTTAAACAGAAAGATACTAGCCTCAAAAGCTTTAAAATTTACACGTCACGAAAACTGTTGACCAAAGACCATTCAGAATTCTTTCCGACTGATATTCCAAATGAGTGTACCAATCCGATCACTTAACACTTTCCCAAACCTTCAGCTCCCAAGGACCAAGTCCTGCTGATGCCCAATATAAAGCACTTAATAAGGCTTCTCACCAAGTATCGCAAGCAAATAAGAAAGAGCCGAAACACTCGTAGCATGAACCAAAGTTAATATTCGTATTTCAAATAGAAGCTTTTGTAATCCACACATTCGCAGCAGTAGGCTTACCGCAGTGTTCTGAGCAAGGGTCATCAAGGTTTCCATGATATTATCTGCTTCTTCATGTTCAACTCTTGGAATCTCCATCTCTTTGACCAGACTGCAAGGCAATCCCACTTCCCTGGTAAGAAAGCTAACATCATCCCAATGAGGTAAAAGAAATCTGGGAAGAAAAGAAACAGGAATCTTAACAAGCCATTTGATGCGCATGTCGCACACTATTCACATTTTCCTGGATTCTCGTGATGCAAAACTTCAGAAGAATGCATGCTTTATGCAGTGCCTTCGTCACTCAACTCATGCAACTTAACACAAGCTGATCAGGAATGTGGACGCGTGCTCACCGATCGAAGACTCGATCATAACGATGCCATCGCGGATCTTTACAATGATTGCCAAACCTTACAACTTCATCTGCATATATTTTGAGCTCATTCCTGCCAAATGCAGTACCAATGTTGAAGAAACTTCTCCCAAATACATATCCAACCCACGATATAGTAAGCCGCCAGAGTCCCAGACTATTGCAAGAGATTAAACGCAAGGGAAAGCTTGAAAAGAGATTTATATATAGGGTAGGCATGAGCAAGAATAACTTTCATTCCACAATTAAAATGGTCCACCTCTTGTCAGCTCCGGCAATCGCCATGAGCTCGTTCTCATCAGTCGAGACTAAACGTTGTACACCCTCTGAGGGCAAAATCTCTTCCACCAAAACTTTCATGTCCTCTTCAGCCAAAGACTGTTTCAAATTGCACCCTTTTACTATTGTGTTTGCAACTTCAAAGCTCAGAATGCCAATTTTATTTCCTTTAGAAACTGCTCCAGCTATGAACCCTCCTTTCGCACCGAGATTAGCAACTGAGGTGCCGAAGATATCCAGTGCTCCAAAGCCCATAGTTCCAGCTCCCTTGAGAACTTCTGAAACCTGCACCGCTTTACCACTCATGAACAACTGATTTTGCGATACTCTTGAAGTATATAGCAACAGTTGCCATACTGACATTGCCATTTTGAACGTGGTCATGACGTTCAGTGCCAAATGCTTCGTTCCACCACTCTAATTAACCAGATCAACGCAATTCAACGAGAAGAAACAGTTGGTCTGGTACTTCCAGGTTTGTGATTGCGTGAAAGCACCGTCTGGAAAGAGACAACTAGGATATGAAGAAGCAAAATGTAGAATAGAATGAAAAGGTAGCATACCCTTGACGCCCCTTTCTTCGCAACAGTAGCTGTTCTCGATCTAACAGAAGTCGCTTTGTCAGACAGCACCCTTGCGAGCTTTTTCTTCTCCTCCTTGTTCCTCTCAGGCTCATATCCATAAGAGCGAACAACTTTATCAGGAGACAATTCATGTGACCGGGTAGCAAAGCTCAGAAAAGAACCCCCTTGTGTTGCCAGGTCGGCATTAGCCACCTGGTGATTCCCTGCCCCAGCGGATTCTATTCCATTTCGAGTTCCCTGAAAAGAATGCCATGTTCGCAAAGACGGTGATGCGTTTTGGCGTTCGTCGTCCTCGTTCGACACCTGGTCCTGCTCAGATGCCTTCGAACACTGGGCACCCATATTACGTAAACCCAGAACCAGGCACAAGAGAGCAATGTACAATCACGGTGATTGTGGCCAGCACAATGCCAGTTTTATTTTTCTGCGAGAAAGATAATAAAACCACGGCAGAGGTAGCAGAGCCGAATTGTTGTTTCAACTGAGTTGAGCACCCAAGTCTGCGATGTGGTTCCCTTCACTTTGACTGGGATTCCAAGTTGTCACATCTTCACTTCGATTACCGTCTTTTTCGAATGCAATTGTTCCAACCAAAGAAAGGGCTGTGCTGTAACAACCTTACGATGTCAGTAACCAGGATGAGCCCATTCATACACATTGACAGTAGGGAAGACCTGGGGCATTTGATCATGAGCTGCGAATGCAGTCGGACATGGCAAAAGAGGACGTCAAGATCCTTTCAGGCACAATCATACCAACACAGAAATAATAATGTGAAGTAGATGCGTCTTCATTTGCCGCTGTCATAAGAGGTTTCTGAGGTATAACTTCAAAGACTCCAGATACCTGCAAGAATCCAGAGTTCTATAATTTTAAAATGTTGTGACGCATTAAAGACCACTTCAGCAGAGAAGCCACGGCAAAAGATTTTAGCATAGGAAAACCACATGAATCCAATAGAACTCCACAATAATCTTGTCGGAACAAGCCCCGTGTCAAATTCGCCATCCTTCGTTCTTTACATGCACCGTTAATTGTCCCAATAAGTGATTTAGTACCTTTAGAGTCTGAGGTTAGTTTAGGGGATCACTTTTATGTTCAGCTTCATCTAATCAAAAAATTCTGGAAACAGTAGTTGACTAAGCCTATGCATCAAAATAACCAGAATCCTCTCCTCGACATTGGTGCATCAGAGTATGGTCCCAGTGGAATGATACTCTCAATTGTCCTCTTCTTCAAGCCTTACAAAAAACCAGATGACTTCGTCGAGAAAATCACTGCTGAACCACACATTACACACTAACAACCACAGCTACTCACATAATTCAATTTACACAAGAAAACACCCACTCTTCCACACAAACACACACACACACAATTGCGCGATCACAACAATGTAACCTCAAACTCCGCCGCACAACATCCTTACTCCGCCATAAACACCGTCATTCTAACAGACATCCAATCGGTCATCCACATACCGACTAAACGCCCCATCCCATCCAATCCGCCTTACACTACCGTCCCTGTTACCGACAGCCACACACTTTCTACCAGAACCGATAAAGAAAGAAAGAAAGAAAGAAAAAAACAAATTATAAACAAAACAAAAGTAAACACAAACAGAGGGGAACCAAACACAAGCGATACCTCGTGACACACCCAGGCTCTTCAGCCGCAAATTCCGATCGGCTAATGCTCACTCGCAATCACTGGCCGACCCCGCAACAAACAAACAAACAACGAAAGCTACGACGGTTGAGCACGAGAAAAATGGCGCGGGGGGGCGCGGAGGCGGCGTCGTGAATGTTCCAGTTGCCGACTACTCCCGAGCTCTGGCGCTGGTTGAAACCGAGGAAAAGCGTGAAGTGCGGTACCCTAAGACGGAAGCTGATATATAAGGGAAACCGAGGCGATAGAACGAGTGGAATCGGGCGGGCACGCAAGGGGAAGGGAGGAGGAAATGGACGACTCGATCGAGTGACGGCAGGTAAGCAGGCTAGCAAGCAAGAGTCGCGGTCTGTGTCGTGACATAGTTTGATTTTTATTAACGCTGCTGCTGCTCCTGCGGGGGTCAGATCGTCAACGAGCTGTGAGGTTGCGAGGAAGAGGGATGATGATGCCACGGTGCTGCTTAGCTGCTGCTACTTTGCCGATGCAATGCGATGCGAGGCGGAGGAGGTGGAGGCGGAATGGCGGGGCCCGATGGTGATGAAGGGGATGGTTGGCTTATGTGACAACCATCGGAGATAAACCCCCCGTTGACATTGAGTCGGTCATAGAGTGGGGTGCCCTTCGCCACTGGAACGGACACCCGTCTCCCCGCCGTACTTACCCCCCCCCATGGCCCCCACACGGCATTGGGTATATCTCCTCTGCCTCGAGATAGAAGCTTCAGTCGCTGTTGATTTTTCGGCAATTTAGATATTGTGGATGGATGGATGGATTGATGAATGAATGAATGAATGAATGAATGGGCTTGTGAATGGATGGATAGATGGATGGGTGTGGATGGATGTGTGTATGGATAGGTAGGTGGGTGGATGTGGCCCAAGTTTCATCCCCAACACACTCCGGCTGCAACGTACCACTGTAAATTTGGACACTCGCATGTATTTAAGGTTTACTTAGGTACTGAAAAATTGTGTTAAATAGTTGGGTGCTCATATGTTTTGCACTGTGTAGTATTCTTGTGCTTTTTACAGTGGTTCCTACCTTTTGAGGTAGGAAGATTTTTTATTTTATCCTTTGTTCAAGAGATTGTGACAAATGCAAGGGGGAAAGAGCTTTGGATTAAGATCAAAATTTATAGGATTCCACTTTCTAATTAACTGATTATCATCATTGTCATCTGCATTATTTAGAATTGTATACTCTAATCATCATTTTAGAAAAGATGACTCCTCATCTCTTTCCTGAGCTTGACTTTCGAAATGGTGCATTTTTACTATACAATGGATTAGGTGAATAATTCAAAATCCTCATTCACCCCCTTATTTTTTCTAGGATTAGGGGGACTATAGCTTTGAACTTAAAAGGGGACCATCTCCTTGATCCATACATAACTTGAATCTTTCCAAGAAAAAAAAAAAAAAAAAAAAAAAAAGAAGAGAGAGAGAGTAAAAGAAAACTACAAGTAGTCCAACCTTTGATAGAAGAAATCCAACCCCATAATAATACAAGAAAAAAGGAGAAAAAGATGAAGAAGATGAATTTATCGAGGATGTGGATGAAAATAAATGTACAGTAGATTTGATGAAATGAAATGCCATTAGAATGATAGACACACTTGCTATGATTATTTTAGTGCATTGTGATGATTTTTCTGCATATCATCAGGGGCAAGAAATACGAATGAGTACAGTCGTCCACGGTATACGGTGCGTAACCAGTGACCCGGGTTGGGCCGGGTCAGGAGGAGGGAACGGGTCCGAGAAGGCGGAGGGAAGGGAGGGAGGGAGGCGGGGATTGAGACGCACGCCCATTCTCATGCTGGAATGGTCCTCCCTTTCCCGAGGTGCCGTTCTGCAGGGAGTCACGGAATGCCAAGGCTATGGCAGTACGTTACACTCTCTTGTACCTGTTCTGCCCCTGGTCCCAGGAATCCCTTCCCCAGTCCATTGCTCCGCACTCTTCTCACTCGACTCGCCTCGACTCCTCACTCTGCATGCATGCGCTCACAATTCCTTTCTCTTCTAGTCGCATCTGTGTCTCCGAATCTGGCATAATCGTTCTTTGTCTCTGGGATATTTATTCACCTCTCTTTTCTTTAACTTTCCGCGATGTAGGAATGGAGTGCACACGGGAATGGACACGGAGCCTGGAAAACTGCTGCATACGTGGCTGAGAATGTTGCGTCAGGGTAATCTTTGTAGACATTGTCTGTCTGTGGGGAGATATCAGTGAAACGGTTGGAAGTTGATGAGGATGGGGTGGTTCATTGAGCTGTGTATTTTTTATTATTTTTATTTTTTAAAATTTCTCTACCTTGAATGTTGGTTTAGCAACTCGGGAGAACTATGTGTGGTGCGCCAGGACCGCTTTCTGAATTAGGATTGTAGTTGCTTCTGGTTTGGAATGTGATGATGCGGACTGACGAGAGTATTTCGAGGATGCACCAGCTTTCCGCAAGCATGAGAAGGCTTTCTGCTACAGGTGGCAACATGTTAGTTGGCTTCCTTTTTCCTGTTCAAATCTGCGCAAATTCTTAATTTAGGAGTAACAGATCCCGAAATTGTAGATGCTTTGGTTGTATCCCCTTCCTTGTGGCGCTGTACGTTTGAGTTTCACCCTTGATTGATTCGGAAAGTGAAGTTTCCTTCATTTGTTGTGAGCACGAGTAATCTTACTTAATTTGTACATCGGTCGTGATTCTTTGGGTCTTTGGCATGTCATATGGGTTCATGAGAGATGAACTTCTTTTTCCACTTCAGAGATCGAGACCATCAATAAACACTTTCGGCACGAAGACTATTTCGTTCCTAAAGCAACGGTTACAGTTTGTGAACGCTTACTCGCCGATATACTAGAAGATGCTTAAGTCTTTTTGTGTCATTCGAACTTGGTTTTTTTGCGGACATTGCTATTATTTAATTATAGTGTTCATCATGCAGACTTGAATATATGTAATTTGGCAAGGAGAACTTACGAAGTTTGCTAGAAGAAAGCGTTAAGTGAGGTAGAATTCAAATAGGCGACTGAAGTTCCGTCGACATGAATAAGAATAGTCAGCGCATGAGGGTTGGGAAATATGAACTTGGTAGAACTCTTGGAGAAGGCACTTTCGCCAAAGTCAAGTTTGCAAAGAATTTGGAGACTGGCCAAAGCGTAGCCATCAAAGTTCTGGATAAGGACAAGATCCTCAAACATAAGATGGTTCAGCAGGTAGTCCGAGACCATGCCCATTCAATACAAACTCAATCCAGATTTTTTATTCCTTGATCATGAACAGGTAATTTTGCAGAAATATTGTAGCCAGTCGCATTCCTGCGATTTGCCTCCAAGCCGGGACTCCACCGATGGTCAGGCGGGAGGAGTATTTGTTCATGCTGGTTCAAATTAGTCTGGAATGCTCAACCTGGTTATTATCTATTCTTAAGTTGCCCCCTGTCTTGAAGAGTCTGTAACATTAGTACTAAAGATGATGCTCTTTATTCGACATATATGCGGAATTTCAAGAGAAGATTCTTTGAATTGCAGATTAAAAGAGAAATATCCACGATGAAGCTAGTGAAGCACCCGTATATTGTGCAACTTCTTGAGGTTAGTATTTCACTGAACTTGCTTGTTCCTAGATATTGTGTTTACTCGCCTTAACGATATCTTTTGCATGTAATTGACGATGGGCTGTGGAAACTGTCAGTACTATTTACGTTAATTTTGTATTAGAGGTGCCCTTGGTTCGATTATGTGATTATTTAATATTTGTGATGATTTATCGTGCCAGGTCATGGCTAGCAAAACAAAAATCTACATTGTTCTGGAGTATGTGACTGGTGGCGGGCTTTTTGATAAAATCGTAAGTACATAGTCCGTTCCAACTCAGGCGGCGTTCTTTTGCCTGCGAACTGTTCGCAAGCAGCAAATCTTAACTATCAGCTGATACACGTATCGATTGTTGGTGTTACCAGTTTCATCAGAGGCGACTCAAAGAAGACGAAGCAAGGAAGTACTTTCAGCAGCTCCAATTTCTTGGCTAATCGTGACACTAATTTTTTTTTTTTTTTTTTTTTTTTTTTTTTTAAAACTTTTGTGGACACTCAACAGCCAGAGAACTTGCTTGTGGATGCAAATGGTAATCTAAAGATCTCAGATTTCGGCTTTAGTGCACTATCTCAACAATGCAGGGTACGACTTGTTCTTTTTCCAAACCTGACTTTATCCTTTGCAATGCTAAAAAAAGTATTTACTAGCTGAAATTTCGTTATTTGTGAATGATAAGGTTTTCAGTTATTATTCATAAAATTACGTGTAGGCGGACGGTTTGTTACACACAACATGCGGAACCCCCAATTATGTCGCTCCTGAGGTGATTAATGATAAAGGTTATCATGGATCTACAGCAGACTTGTGGTCATGTGGTGGTATCCTCTTTGTGCTCATGGCTGGTTATTTACCCTTTAACGGGTACAAGAAGGTATACAATTTCTGACTCTTGATATCTTGTTTGTCATGCAGTAATCCCAATCGACTACATGCAGAAATCGGAACAAATATGCTTTGAGCTGTTTTGTAGACTATGACCTTCAACAATCTTGACATAAATCTTTTACATTTGCAGATAAACCGACCAGGGTTCACTTGCCGTTCCTTTTTCTCAGCTGGCGCTAGGAGATTGATAATGGGAATTTTGGACCCTAATCCTAAAACCGTAAGTGACGGGTCATTATTTTGTGAAACCAAGATGTTTTGTCGTTTGAAAGCTGCCGTCAATGACTTGGATTGTCGTATCGTTATCTACTGATCCATATGCCTCGCGCATTCTGACAATCTAGCATGTGCATATCTTCTTGCAGCGTATCACAACTGAAAAAATCTACCAAAACAACTGGTTTAAGAAAGAATACTCTCCCCCTAAGTTTGAGAAGGACTTGGACATCAACCTCGACGATATTGATGCTGTTTTCAGCGAGTCCACAGTAAGCTCGAAAAATCGTATATCACATGCATTACCTGTTCAACAAATCCGTATCCACCTACTATAAGCCAATGTGTGTTACGATACGGTATTCCCTTGTAAGAAGTCAGTGAGGGTGTTTCATAATGCAAATGTATGCAAAGTGTTCTGAAGTTCCATCATTATGATAGATGGTTCAGAACTAAAGCATCAATTGTAATCCTGTTGGCCTTGGGGGCGAATGACTTTTCTGGGAGCTTGAGGTTCACGCTACTTTGGCTGTAGGATTATATGGTTACTGAGGAAAAGGATATTATGCCACCGGCAATGATTGCATTTGAGCTCCTCTCTCTCTCGTGGTCTTAATCTGTCTGGCCTATTTGAAACACAAAGCCAGGTAAGCAACCTCCTACTTTTGATTTGTGTTATGCACTTCTTAAATGTCTCTGAATATTGTCACCATTATTTGGAAGTTTTGATGCAATTTTGCCAAAATTGTAGTTCAGAAATTTGGGATGGTGTCAATTGATTTTTTTGATATTTTCAGATGAATCCACTAATCTACTTTCGCAGGATCTTAGGCCACAGAACGAGTCAAGATTCACGAGCACAAAGCCTGCTAATGAAATTATTAGCACCATTGAGAAAGCTGCTAAGCCTTCGGGCTTCAATGTACAGAAACATGATCACAAGATGAAGTTGTAAGCAGACAAGCACGGCAGAAAGGGCCATCTTTCAGTGGTTACTGAGGTTGGTTTAGTATTAATGAAAAACACTAGTACGTTGAATTCTGAAAAGTTAGGTTTTTTGTATTGGAACACAACGTGATGAGTCGTAAGAAATAATCTTTTCACAGAGGAATTGCCGCATTATACCAATGCCAAAATCATGTAGTATCTAATGGTGGGAGACTCATTGATGTCTGCAGGTTTTTGAAGTGGCGCCATCTCTTCACATGGTTCAGTTACGAAAGAAGGGAGAAGATACACAAGAGTATCACAGCGTAAGTACATGTGTTTTGCACAGTTCTGATGAAATGCAAGCAGAACATGAAGCTTCTCAATGGTGCTAATACCTACATATACTTCCAAAAGTAAATCCTAGGAGTATGCATTTCTTATTGCTGCGTGAAAATTTTAAGCTGTGTTTACCTTGACTGTAGTTTTTTGGAGACCTTTCTAAAGGCCTCAATGACATAGTTTGGACACCGCCAAAAGATAGGAATTCTTCTACAGTGAAGTGAACCAAGTTCGGTCATAGTATTCTTGAGCTAAGAGGTGGCGAACACTTGCAGGAAATGAATTTGCATGTTTTTCAAGTCCTCCGATGTTCATAGTAAGTCTTTTGTTAGTTTGTTTTGGTCGAGATCCCGTTTCGTTATGTTCCTTGAGAAAAAAATTTGGGACGAGAGCAAGGCACTGATATATTTGTAAAAACGATTCGCTAGCGATTACTTGATTCTCGTTGGTTCCTCCAAATAAGATAAAGATAAGCAAAAAAAATTCTCTCTTTATTTTTCCTTTCAACATATGTACGGTGATATTTAAAAACCGCCATGATGGTTGGCTTAAAAGTGTAGAGACTGATCTAAAACAGAATCTCGAGAAGACACTCTTCAACCGCACCATTCCCTGCAGCTATCATTATGAACGAGAATAAAGAGAAATATTAGAACATTAATTACATAACACTACCCATGAGTGAGGAGGATCCAGGTCTTTGAAGCTTGGGATGGGTGGCAGCGTAGATGGAGGAGGCTCCATCAGGACTCAGATGTCGGAACAAGAGTTGCACATCCGGCCGTAGGCGCTCAACAGCTTTGGAGCAGAGCACTAATGTCTCAGGTCTAGGTCGTCCTCCTGCTTGGCCTGTCGCTTGCACTTCCATCATCACAGCGTGATGCCTGAGATAGCCACCGATGAAATAATGGGCGAGATAGACATATTGAGACATGAAGCTCAAGTCAAAACAGATTGAAAAGACGAGGTTGCGTAGTAATTAATATGAAGATGCAAAACCAGAAACAGCACTACAGCATGATATAATCATGATACACTTCAGGCGATATTGACAATACCCCCACCGCGACCTAATGTGTTTTATTCAATATGAGATAACGAAGTGCAAAATGGCACACATCACTGAATGCGAAATGAAACAGAAATGTACTTACAGAAAATCGACAAGGTCAACGATATCAGTGGCTTCAGTTGCTGAGGGAACTTGAGAATTGCGACCAAATACATCTGCCAAGATGGTGAAGAGAAGTGCAAGAGTCTGCATATATATGTACCCATCCCAATAAGTACGTCAGGTTTCAGGATAACACACTTTGTGCAACAATCATACTACACAAGCAAACTACTCTCGTGATTACTCTAAGGCAATGAAGAGTTAAAAAGAAAAAAAAATTGAAATATTTGCCGAGACTTATACAGGGATTCCACAAAGATCATAAAGAATGAGGGAAATTGGTACCTTGGCAAACAGTGGACGTGAGAGCAGACGAGGCAACAAAGGCCCCATTATCCTATACGCCAGTCGCAGATGAACTACGGAGACAAACGGTCTCTGCTGTGTAATCACTGAGTGCATACCCTCAAGCCATTCGAATGGCAAATTGGACTGCAGTGTATGCAGCAATGTCACAGTGTTTGCTGCCATCCCATCCAGGATATCAACAATGAATAAACAAGAAACGACAAAGGATATCATATGATAGAAAAAACAGTAATGAAATGACCAGTGGCTTATGGATAAAACTACTCACCAATGACGGTAGCTGTGTCATCTCGAGCGCCCCAACTTGGATCCCAAGTTGAATAACCAAAAATAGCATCAAGATCTCTTGATTGCTTAGAAGGATCAGTTAACCACCAACAGTCCTTTTTTATGATACGAGCGGTTTCTGAATATATAGCACCATGAAACGCGACTGGTAGCTGTGCTAAGAGGAGGCCACACGCTTGTATCATGAGAGGAGAGTGCGTAAACTGAGGCGAGGAGTTGTTCAACCCTGAAGAACTTTGTCCTGACAAGGCCTCTCCACCACTTGAAGGAGATTGCGGGGTTTTGGGAGGTCCACCTTGGGGAAATGAGGTAGGAAGCTTGACTGCAATGTGGATAAGCATAGCAACTATTTGGTTTGGGGGAGGAGGTAAAGAGAGTAGCTCAACCACTGCAGTTTCTAGTAACAACTGATTGTAGGAACCTGGATCTTGATGCAGGTAGAAAGCCTTGTTTACTTCTGTAGTATTGTTGGCAGTACTAGCAGCAGCTTGGTTCCTATTCAACACAAAGCGGGACGATAAAAGACCATCACCACCTGTCGCGCTTGTTCCTGGCTTGCCATGCAAAGGTGGTATGACATTGTTAACCAGACCCACGAGTAGGTTGTGGAAGTACTCGTATGAGGGACTGCTTCCTGTGTTGAATGCCTTGATTTGCTGAAGAAAAGTCTCAGAAAAAGGTATCTGCAGGACGATCGCAACGGCCATTGTAGTTACAAGCCATAAGATACTTATTATAAAACAACACCATCAAAGGACATGTCTAAAATAATATCTATGATCATAGCCCAATTGGAACGCTAACGGGGAAGCAATTCAAACCTTGGGTAGGTCCAGACTGCCGAGAAGGCGACGCACAAGCTTAGTCGGCAGATGCCCATAAAAGTAAGCAAGTGTATCCCGGACAAAGGAGAAACGGGTTGGATGATAGAAAATGAGCGGAGTGTAAACATGAAGCAAGCGCTCCGCAGTTTCTGTCGCGTCGTTCTCTATTAACCGGTATACTATCAAGGGTATGACTGGTAATGCGCGAAGACACATGTCGTCAAAAAACAACGGAAACCTGCAGCCAGGTCCAATGAAAGTTACTAAAGCAACAGAAAGACGGCAATTTTGTTACCAAAAGCATTCAACTAGTCTAGTTAAAAACATTGCTTATGCAGGATGTGTCAGAGTAATTCGTCGAGACAAACGTCCGAACGTTAACCAAAGCAGAGAAAATCCTACCTGTCTTTGCCAGCGAGGTGAGAACCAAGAGCCTGAGGGTATTCTGGACGCTGAAATGGTCCTAACTGCATCCAATGCTCCGTTTGACCTCGATGAACGTAGTAAGTCTGAACACGTTGCTGAAATTCCGGCCGGTCTAAGAGCAAACCCACCTGATAAATATCCAAGGTTGTTAACATTTACAATGTGATGCTAGAATGTCATATCCCGTATAGACAACATATCATTTGGTAAAATGGGAAAAGAAAAAGGAATTCAACTTGGAAGTTGTTTCAAGAAATAATACAAATTTCGCAGTATAGATAATAGATGTTGAACACGAATTGTAGTAAAACATACATTTGAAAAAAAAATCCAAAGACCAGACATCAAAAACTTGCTCCTAAGCTCGCTCCCAAAGCGAGCAGCAAAGATGAAAGCCTTGAATACGCAAAGACTCACAAATGTGCAGAGAAAGTTATGCAGAAGAGAGAAAAGGCAGAAATAGTTGTACCACCAAGCGCAGAGCATGAGCATCATCATCTCTATCTGTAAGGGCTAGTAACACAATGTCAAATGGCAGCAGTTCTTGATTCCACATAAAGTGTGCAAGCCCGGCACTGGTTGCAAGTAGCAAGTTCTGTAACAAAGCAAAAACTTCAGATGGATCAGCGTTCTTGCAGCTAAATAGCTACTCTACCCACTTATATTTGATACATTCAACGTCATTATTGATAGAGTTGCAATTAGCAAAAAGAACATTGGACAAAATCAAAATCTACTGTAAGAAAATAAAAGGACATATAATGGTTGATCGCATTAATAGGAATGCGAGTTAATCTACACGAACTGAACCAGCAGCTGACTGTATTATAAAGATAAAACAGGGAAGCTGTATTTAAAAATAGAAAGCCCTTAGTTGTTGCAGTAAATCATTACCAGAAGAATCATGTTACCAAATTGATAAGAACAAAACACAATCAATCGAGATTCACTAAGCTATGCCTCAAAAATTGCCACTCTGGTGAACACACCATAAATACCGGCATAATGTGGAGGTCCATTACAAAGATAGTTATATTGTTGGACTATACCTATGCACTTGTTTGTTAAATGGAAGAGAGAAATAAATGAACCTGCAGAGAGTGACCATGCTGGAGTTGCACATGAATGTGGTGAAGCAGTACATCCACCATCATATATACATTAGTAGTGACTTCTTCTGGCGAAAATTCTTTCAGTGTTCGACCCTGAGGCATTCAAACAGATTTGATAAGTTCACTATACAACTAAAGAGGATAGAATCAAGTTTCACCAAGGGAGGTCTACAATGTAACAGCAAAAGCCATGTTTTACTTCTCTAACAATAAGCTTTGATAAGTGATCGATTGGAGAAATCAATCCATGATCACTGCAAGGAAAATCGAAATCAAAAGAGATTTGTCTTTTCAAACGAGAGAAACAGTTCAATAAGTTGAATGTAATAATAGAGTGGCAGCTTACAAGATTTGCAATGCTGATACTATCAGGACGTTCAAAATCCATCGACATCCAGGCACCTGCGCATAGGAACTGTCGATGTGCAGGAAGGCTATGTTGGATATATTGAGATACGTAACTTGGATCTGAATTGGCTGATAGCAATTGACGACAGTGAGACATGACGGTATGTTCAGCCTGCAGCTCAAACACACCATCCATCCAACATCACAACAATAACGTAAGTAACTTTTCTTCTCCAACAGGTTGCTTAATAAGCATGCTGTAAGAAAGCACAGTGAACCAACAAACTACAAGTAGCAGATAACAGACAAAGTGTTCATCCGTAATGAAACTGGCGGGAGCACCTGCTGCCAACTTTGAATAACGTGAGCCCGTGTATCTATCCGGTTTGCTAAGGCCTCCCGAAGAAGGGGGGGGAAATGCCGCATAGTTTTCTCAGACCATGTGTGATTGATGCTGGCGAGTATTTGCTCCAGCGCTGGCTTCAGTATTATCATCTGTTCGAAGTCTGCTATACCTCTGGTCTTCATTGTAAACGCCAAGTTCAAGACCATGATCCTGTTCAGAGTTTCCGTGAACTCTGTGGTAGCCCCCTAGAAGACGATGAAACAAACGGTTCAATTCGTTTTGCTAGATAAGAAACAAACTACGGGGAACATCCCAAAAAGAAGACAACCATTAGGATCTAAGGAAAGTGTTAAGAAAAAGAGAAAATATAAAAGTAGATAAGTGTGCTTGTAAGTCTTGCTTTGTAGACCACACTACAATCTAAAAATTCAAAATCCACATTGCAAGATATGTGTGAACTTGGCATTGAGTTCAAAACCAAACATTCAGTTGCGATAAGATTAAAAAAATTGAAACTCACCTTTAATTCTTTCTTCACCAGCAAGACATCTTTCATGTTGAGAATGAGGTTGATCCCTAGATTTTCAGCCAAACGAAAAAGTCGATGCTCTCCTCTCTTGACCTTCACAGTTATGATGATTTTTGCGATGTCAAATATGAGTTGCTTCAACTTATTATGAAATCTGCAACATAGATCATAAAATGTTTAATCAAGTGATCGATCACTTATTTAGAAGAAATAATTTCTTACAACCCAAAGTATCATAAGCAAACCTAACTAACATCTTCAATTGATCAAACACAAATTCATACTTAGCAATCCATCAAACACAATCAAACACACAATTAACAAAAAATAAAGGCCACAACTAGGTCATAGACTAGAATTCACAATAATACCGATATAGAGGTAACAGTCGGTAGTTGAACAACTCAAGCAGAAGAAGAGAAACAGCAGGCTTTGTCATCCCTGATTGAAATCTATGCGCCATCCCCTGCAATTTTCAGTCTTTCTGTTCGTCAACATCATCTCAACTAAATTTAAATGTGAACGGTCGCAGGTCACAGACACCGCTCTTTCCAAAAACAGCAGCTTTGGCTTTTGCAAAGAAAGGCCTGCCATTGCACCAAACTGCCAACGCCCCAGACAAAGACTCGCCAACTTCATATGGTAGTACATACATTAAGATGATGCCGGAATAGATTTTGTGGAGCAGCCAATAAAAGTCGCACATAGGTTTCCACCATGGCTATACTTGGAATAAACTGCACAGACCGTCATCATGTCAGGATATGGTCACTTCAAGAGCACCCATGGAGCACCCTATCATCTGTCACAAACTCCAATTGCTTTTTAAGTTTTAAGCCAGCTTCTCTGAGGAGAATCCTTTGACAATGCTACATAAGTTGAAAAAACAAATGCACCAAGAAAAAACTGATACTAAAACTGATTTAAGTAATTATCAGCACCGGTGCTGTAACTGAAGTCATGATTAACGGCTTAGACCATACAAATACCCTCACATAGGGAAGTTAACTTTTTCATGCACATTCTGAACCGCTTGCATGAGAATCCGCATGTTAAAGTCATCGTTAACGTTCCATACCTGGCCAGCAAAAATGAGCTCCTCGATCTGGGTTAGAAGGCGAAGACATAGGTGCAGCGATAGACCAGACAGTAGAGTCATGGGTAAAGGTCTTGTTTCATGGATCACAGAAAGCCGCTCTCCTTGCAGTATAATTTCAGATAAGCCACTTGATCTAAACCATATCATCAGAGCCTCACTAATAGGTTGAGTCATGGTATTGGAAAGTACCCACACCATTCCCATTGCCTTTTCGTCTAACTGTGCATAGTCAAGCACCCATTCTCCTGCATTAACACAACTGAATTAACAGACAGATATACCGCACTAGGGAGCTCTACTTCATAAGAAAAGTAACAAACCCTGATTTAAATAAAAATTCATCTGAAACATCTCAAATGATTGAGAATAGAACCTTGAACATCAAACTATCTAGTACCTTTCATAACCTGTTTCCACCATTCGTCAATAACCTTGCCCTTCTGCATGTGCTCCTGTACTCGGTTACCATGAAGATTCTCCATCATGTTGCGGTTGATAGACCACAGGCGTAAAGTCTGACTGCTACCAACGAAGTCCAAGAGCAACGCTTGTGCCGTCGTATTACTTGTTTGCTCCACAGAACGCTCAGCCATATTGAAAGATAGAATCTTTCGAGCTGTCTCCACCTGCAAAATTCTTGAACCAAATCAATTAAGATGGGCAGTGAATCCTTACAAAAGTTCACAAGTTATATCTGCCTAATCTAACACCCAGTATGACTCATACATGAATGTAAGGACTTGTCAGGCCTACGTGTTACTAGAAAGCAACAAGCTTAGTTCGGCAACCGTACCACTGAGGAGAGGGAAAGTTAAGAAATCTTGAATCACCTGTGACTCAGAGCTTAGTGCAGAAGTAACTATCTCAAGGCGGAATACTTGAGCTAAAAGCCACGTCACATGGTTGCTAGCCATTACGGTTCCATTCGCAAAGCGCAGGGAGAGCTTGTCAATCAGCTCTAGAAAGTCGAGACAACTGGTGCTCATAAAAAAGTAGAATAGATCTGCAAACATCAACCACTCCTGCCAACGACCTGCTTCGGTAACCGTTGAATTTGTGCTGCCTGCAGCAATAACATTTGTGGAGATGAAAGGATCATCATTTCATCCAATCCAGAGAATCAAATAACGGAAGCAGTCCTTCAGGCAGATGATAGAAAGAAACATCATAGAATCAACGGACAATTGAGACGAGAAGACTTATGAGGTTCATTACTAATAAGTAAACTTCAAGCGTTAGATTACTGCAATAAACAGCTTGATGATAGCTGATCTGATTGCATATTATAAGAAACAGGTGAAGGCATAACCTGTTGGTAGTGGCTGCATGAGCTCCATGATACGTTCAACTACGGCATCACAAGTCATATCTGCTGAAAACTCAAGCGAAGGCTGACCCACGAACAGGGAACCTGTTCTAGGTCCCATAGACTGGGGTGCTTTCTTAAAACGAGGAGCAAGAACTAGAACTTTCTTCCACCAGTCAGTTGAAACACACGCACGAAGAGCTTGTCGTAAGCACCGCATAGCCTTTTCCCACTCCACACTCCCCTTCGGTATCGCTGTAGCAACGTCCTGCAAATTTCACACCCTTGTGAGGATGAAAATCTTAAGATGCTCCCGAGAGGAAGCAAATCTATTATCTGAGAGCCTATAGAAGGTGGATGAGGACACATTTGGAAAATCTTCAAGTCATATGTGCGTGTGAAATTCGCACAATTCTTAGGTGTAAAGAATGCATAATACATTGATAGGAGGGGTCTGCATGCTAGACACAGGTCTGGTGCTTGGAAAAAATTTATGGCAAGTAATGAATGAGACACATATCCCACAAACCTCGAAGTGCCCTACTTGTGAGACGGAACAAAAGAACCCTAAAAGATTGAATAATTTTATAGCTGTAGTTCGAACGTCATACAATACTGAGAAACATCAGGTGCAGCATCAACAGTTACAGATGTTAATCCCACAACTGGATTCATACCATGGACCTCCACAGCATTCAATATCACCTATAGTACATACCTCGCCGTGAAGGAGTTCGCCCATCGTACCAGGATAAGTCAGAGAAGAAACTCGCAAAGTTGCAAATGTGGGGCAGTGCAAGTGCTGGTCTAATGGCAGCATATGCAGAGCAATCTTGTCACGCCTGCGGTGTACTTCTAAGAACAAAGCAAATAATGCCTCGTCGTCTGGCCATCGCTCCACCTGCAAAATTACAGATCATGCAAACCACAAATCGTTCATTCAGTGTGGTGTACTTGTAACTGCTAAATGAGAATAATGATGTTTGCATCGTGAATTACAAGGATCATCAACGAGTGTTAGACAGCAAATACTTCAACATCATAAACAACGACTTGACGGAAGAATCAATAGACTCAGACTACAGCTGAAGTATAAAAACAGAACAGGTTACGGCTATTCACCTGTAGCTGGGTCTTGTCGTGCAATAGCGCATAAAAGGGAACACGGCACTTGTTCTCATCTATTAAAGCCCAAATCACTTCCACACAGCTGTGTATCCACATTTTTGACTTCAGCTTCCAACTGTTTAACCTGCTTTTGCTCTCATCCTCCTTACCATCCACTTCAGCATCCCAGGTTTGGATCCACTGAGCAACATGTAAGAGAATATCCAAGCAGGTTACTGGCTTCAGCTCATTATCCAGGGCAGCAAGCATCACTCGACACACTAAAGGTCGCAACGAATTTATTATACTTGTCCCTGAGGCACCTGTCCCACCGTTGGAGGATGGGTTTACAGAGGAGTACTCGACACCTGAATGAGCAGGAGATGCTGCAACATTTCCATGTGCAGACGATGTCAGTAGATTAGAGGACGGAGACGGTGAAGCAGGGGTAGAGGCAGGGGTCGCGGTTGTGCCCTGCATCATCATTGCCAGGGGTCCAGTTAGTTGAGGCCCCGTTACCCCAACATTCATACCCTGGTGACTCCCCGTTGCTTGTCCAATGTTTTCAGCTTTTTCAGCAGCCCGCAGCAGGATATGCAGAAAGGAGTCCCATCGGACAAACCCCATCTTGACCAATATTTGCAGGCAAGATAACAGAAAATCTGACTGCACACCATGGCTGCAACATTGTACTAACAAAGTTGCCAAGACTGTCTCGGTCACAAGCCGCCCTTGTTCTTGATCCTGCATGATCAATATAGTTATAAATAAGAATCAAATACAATAATATTCTGCAAGCACATGGACGCGCTTGAATATGTTCCAGCGTTCTGGAGAACATTCTCTAGCTCATGAATTGGCTGTACGGCCGTTAATACACACATGATAAGAGCAATGATCACCATAAACGAGAGGTTAAAATAGCTCTTTCACTGAAGAAGAAGTTAAGGAATCAACTGTATCATGGATGGCAACTGATTATCCCACAAACCGACTTTCTAATAGTCTACGAAAATAGGCATGTCACGTAATTGGATTGACCTGTAACTCTTAAGGCTAGAAAGAGCACTGAAGAACTACTACTGAGTGACTGTCAAGTCTCGATCATGAAGAAGCTTAAGCTAGAGAGTCGATGGCTTCAAGTGATGATACATTGGCAGCAGATAAGCACCACTCACCGTAAATTGGGACTGCAACATCAAAAAATCGGACGAAAATTGATCTTCTTTAGGAGCCTGAGGTCTGCTAACAGCTGCCACTCGTTTCCGAACAGCCAATGACCTGCATTCTCAAATGCCACAGAATAAGATTAGAGGATACACGCCTGAATCATCTACTTACGCCGTATAGATAGAAGTAGCATGTGCCAAAGCAACAAGGCGAAAATATAAGCAAAAATATTGAAATGTAAGAACTTGAGGCCATATGAACAACTACCACAACGGGGAACGAGACTTACAGATTTTCCCCCCGATTACCATCAGCTTTTTCAAGTAAGCTCCGCTGCAATAACAATTACAAAAATGTTCACACAGCGAAAACTACAAAGAGCGCGAACACCGCGCACTCAAATCCATATTTCAGTATAAGGAACGGTAAATCGGGAATAATAACATACAGTTTGAAATCCCTCGACAAGAGAAATCGCCTTATCACTTAGTAAAATCCACAACCATTTTCCATTTTAGCATAAACATCTGTAAAAACAAGTCTGCTCCGTCCCTAACTCTCTGGCTTTTAAACCGCTTGTGCTTATGGACCGCTACTCTAGGCCAGTATGTGAGGTGTGAAGAGGTGAATTGCAAGGAACATGGATGGATAATTTACGTTCAACATCAAGTATTAGTGATAGCATTTGATCAGATGCCCTAGTACTAGCTAAAAACCCTTCAAAGGTTCAGCATAAAACATTCAAATTCACAATTCAGATGCAAATGCTAGTAAGCCTACTGTAATGCTCTCCATCCTGCGATGAATTGGATCCTCATACCTCCGATCCACAATACGTGTCATCCACAATTCAGAGTCTTTTTTCCCCAATATAAATTCCAAAACCATATACCACTTATGCTCAGACAGAGAGCGCGTAACAACCACCACCATACACCCTCTCCTTCGAGTTGAACAAAATTAACGAGGGAAAATAATAATCAATAAAATAAAATAAAATAAAAAAAGAGACAGAGCACATTCATGCACTAAATGACAATCTCCAGCTTCAACAGCTCCAATTCAATATCAATGGAGTCATCAGCACCACAATGCACCACGGACGAGAAACCTCCATGGCTTGTTCCAACACATGAATTCCGTCAAATAACCAATTTTGACGCATTGCAAGGACACAAAAACCATAAACCTAGACGCGCCAATAGGATTCATCCCCGCGAAACCCTACGAATCCATCATCAAATGCGGCATTCGCAATTCGGAGCGGGAATACTTACTCCCAAGTACAAGTTGAAAAGGTTCTGGACGGCGATCCGGATGCTGTTCATGTTCATGGAGACGCCGCCTGAGCTCTCCTCCATTGCTGCTGTAATAGTAGTAGTACTACTACTATTACCCCTCCTTCGATCGTAGACAACGGCGAGCGTTGAAGAGCTTCGACGAGACACAGAGCCCTGGAAACCCTAATAGTGCTCAAGCAGCTTCAGTGTTGATGCCAAGCTTGCGTCGGACATTCGAGCTCACGGACCTCCATGACTTGACAATGCTCAGCTCCGACTAATTTCCACGTCAACAAAAGCTTCCTGGACATCGCTAGCTCAGCTTCGATCGGGTCCACGTCAGCACTCCTTCAGTATTGTTCTGACCCCTGCTCTACTGGGCCTGCCTGCCATAAAACCTCCACCATGTATTTCATTTGTAAGAATAATTTTACAAGCTAGGTTTTGCCATTTATTTCATACCATTTTTATTTTAATATTGTTATTTTGAAGGGTTTTTTAAAATAAATTATAAATATAAAAGTGAAGACATGGTATTGCTTATTATTTTTATATGTTGAGATGTTAAAATAATATATGTAACCCTGAATAGTAATAGTGATTACAAAATAAATTAATTACAATATTGATTGATTCATTTATTTGAGGCTTATATGTGTTTTTTTTTTTTTTTTTTTTTTTTTTTGCAAACTTGGCTTTTCATAATCCATTTCCTTCCTTCAATTTTATTTTTTATTTTTTTATCAACTGCTTGAGTTTACTTTTCCTGAACACCACAACTATTCACATTTAGAATAGAAAAGCATCCTCCAAACAAATTTTATGAAGTGATAATACTAAAAATATGTCACAAATGTGGTGTTTTGTCTAACTGTACATGGATCAGTTGTTTGCATGAAAGCCAATGTTTAAATCAAGAACAGAAAAATGAATCTGAAGTATGGTCATGCAGAGCCAATCTTGTGTCAAATTCAATACTGAGAGAGGTGCTGAAGCATGTAAGGTTGCAACAATCTGCAGTCAAAGAAGTGGTACTTACATTTTTAGTGGTCCTGCATTTGGAAGTACAAGGACCTCGAAGGCACAACGAGAAGCAATAATCATGCCTTATTGAACAATTTCCATGTGTATGGAATCCATGTCTTGACCATACACCCAGTTAGCCCTCAGATCATTATAATAAGCTCATGGTCCTCACCATTTTTTAATATTTAAAAATGCATGAAGTGGGCAGTTTACAAAATATTCCTTACCATGCCTAGCTCTGCAGCAGATTGTATACCAAATAACAAATGATGCAGGTCAAATTTGGAGATAATTATTCATATTCATGATTATCTCAACAGGCACTTCATCTCTTTTGCCAACATGTTGAATGCAATGCCATACTTCCACTAGGGTTGTAAACATAGTTGCAACTAATTTCAACAATTTTTTTTTTTTTTTTAATGATAATCAAAGATTCGAAAGGTTCTGCTGCTCATGATTACCTCCATACTGCATCATTTTCTTCCTTGCAGCAATTTCTAGTATTACATCAAATTCTTGCACACACAATCTAAAGACAGGGATGCACACAAGACATCTTTGGTAGGGGATGCCTTCCCTGATGGAGCAGCTCATTGCATCTAGTAACATGAACAATATATCCAAATGGTTACCTAGCTGCATGTGGCATATATATATATATATATATATGTGTATATCATATAAAACAGCTCATAGAATAGACAAGAGAAGACAAAAACCCTCTATGATTTGGTGAATGCATCATCATTTTCATCAAAAGTTAACCAAAAGTTGAATTCATAGGGCCTTAATAGAACCAATCTTAGCTAATCTAACCCACATTATTGAACTTGTGCCGATTTAAGCAAAAACATGTAGATATTCATTGATGCAAGCAAAAATGCACTATGAGCAAAAAGAGCATGTGAGGAATGGTGGCCATAGAAGTGGGATGTGTGATTGTGCGTTTCCTTGTTACAAGGTTTGTATGGTGTATTTGATGGCATGTATGTATTTTATTGTTCTCACTCATACAACATGGCTCCAAAGAATTGCTTTTTATTTGAAAAATGTAATACCATTATAATGCTCATGCATTTACTGTTAATTTTGCACAATTAGTACTCTACTTACAAAAGCACTATCAAACTCTACTAGACGATTATTCACTACCTCTCAAATGAACAAAACTCTTCTTGAACCTCCTTGAGCAACAACTAATTTATCGAGCTTTGACATGCGAGTCTACACTCAGTTCTCCAAGGTTAAATGTTAAATGCTAAGAATAAAATTTACTTTGATAACTTATATCTTGAGGTATGCATGCCAACTTATGTTTGGTGTCCAAGTGTTTGGAGTGAATAAGGTACTTGGGGTGTCTAGTGTCTGATGTAGGTATCAAAGCAATTAGAAAGAGGGACAAGTGGAGATCAAGTTTATGAGTCATAGTAATGTTTGGAGTCAATGGCCATTTAATTCCTACAAATTTTTGCCTCCAATTGACTTGCTGATAAGGCGATGCTAATCTACGTATTCTGTGGTCTGGTATGCCATTTGGAAGGAAATAAAATTTTGCCATGTTAATACAGTGAGGATTTTGTAACTGTGCAGGTAGATCTTGGATAACCCACATCGCCTCAAATGGTCTCTGATACATTGTGCATGTGTAGGTTGTTGGTTAGATGAGCTGCATTGAAGTGAAAGTGAGAGTTTCTGCTTGAGATTTTGTAGCAATTTAATTGCTGTAGCATATGAAGCCAAAGAAGGTCTATTAGATTGACATGATTTTGGCATATCACCCATCCTTTTACTGGGTTTTGCATTTGGGGGCATGAGCTACAACCATGTGTAACATCCAAAACACTAAATCATAATTGGATCATAGACATGTCTTCAAAAAAATACTTTTTTGGAGTCAAACTTTCCATGGTAACAGCACGGTTTCTTTAGGAGTGATCAATTTTTGACTTGACAATCACAAATCAAACTTTCACACCTTTTTCTTGGCCAACTACACGGGTTTACACTAGTATATGTATAAATAATATATATAAATAGTATATATATAAATGTGTTTTTATCTCATTAACCTCGGGCAGCAACAAGCAGAAGAAGAGCTTTCCAAGATCCCTGGTCATCCTGGTGGATGGACATCCTGCCAGACCGCAGATTCACGCATATCGCACGTATCTTACATACAGCATGGAAACAACGAAGGTAGATAGAAGTACGATATGAGTGCGCGCTCGGCAAGGTGATTAACGATGGCGTATCACAGAATCAAATATCTAGGAGAACGAAACTTTTCCCATATCAGCGACAAGTTTGCATTCAATCGTAACTCCTGAAAGTCTATTGAAAATCATGGAAACTGGTGCGTCCACATTTAACGGTTACCTTGATTCTATCAAACCTTTCTGAACGTGGAAATTCGCCAATCCATCAAATTGCATCCAGAAACAATTGCCAGTGAACAATCGATCAAGCACAACCCTCGAGATGAAGGCGACTGCTATCAAGCAAAAAGCAGCTTCTGCACTTAGCAGTACCTGTATTTGCATAATTAGCTAACCACAATTGAGAAGGGGAAAATCATTACCCTCACCCAGCTCACAGGCAATCCTCTCTTGAAAACAACAATACCGTTCCCAATAACCTGCAACCATGAAAACCATTTAAGTTCTTGGAGATATTTATTTTTTGAGGCATCTGGGAGCCTAGCCCAACAAGCTGAGCTAGCTACAGGGCGTAGACAACAAACATACACAGAACAATTGTCCTACCATATAATTTTAAATGTTGGTATTCATCCATGTTGAGTGTAAGGAAAATTTGTTTCAATTTGTAGCAGTGGAAAAAGCTAATCTAGTGGTTTCATCAACGATGCTTCACTAACCTTCGATTGTGCAGACTTTCGTACGTTGAAAACAATGACCAGGATTTCGACACTCCATCCCCAGAGCTCCATGCCTATATCACTGCATCTCCAGCAGTCTGCCTTCTTTTGACATCGTGTGCCACATTAAGTTCTCTGTAGTCCAGACATCACCAACTTTTCCTCAATACATTGGATTCATAAAGAAACATATTTTTGTTCGCAAACTAGAAATATGGCTTTTAAAGACGTGTTGTAAAAACTGCACGTGGAAATGCTGAACATACAGGGGCTCATCAGTGGCATTGGTCATTGCAACGTCACTGGGTGGTCGCTTGTTGCTTTTCTTGATCTTCCGTTTGGCCTTAGCCCTGCACTTAGGAATTGCATTGTTACAGCGTTTTGAAAGACTGCTTGTAACTAAGAAGGAATTACTGAATTTATAACCAAAAATTTGATCTGTTTGTCTTAAATTGCGTTAAATTGAATTGAATATTGTAAGAAGTAGGTCAAATAACATACTCATCCTGCAAACTTGGATTTCTGCAATACTTCAACTTGCGATCGATTTTCCTCACTTCTGCTTCTACGGGTTGTTCAGTTCACTTAACCTATTAATTACATTAACACAACACGATTTAGTTTTTTATTTTTATTTTCTATGCTTTGCGTAAAAGAAAGATCCTAGCAAGGATTGATCAAAAGATGGGCAGTATAATTGCTATCGAACTGTTAAGAAAAAGAACCTCATCGCTGGACAGGACAATATGGGAAGAAGAATCTGATTTCTAATAATTCCTGGCAGTGCCTATCGGGGCTATGCATTGTAACTTACCAGAAATTCAATGGCGTCAAGCTTGGCAATCAACTCGGCGTATGAAAGCTGCAACCTTTTCTGTTCCGGTAGGGCTTGGAGGTATCTGGACAAAATGATTTATTTTAAAATCAAGAATTGGTTATGCCACTACATATAAGCTGCAACTTCGATTTCATGATGCATCCAACAGTTCGTGCGTCACAAGATTGATGAAGGATGTTCAAATACAACAGGTTGATACTACTCATCTGCGAAAGACTCCTTTTTTAAGCGAGAAGGTTAAGTACTGATAAAGGAGTAATACAAGCATCTCGATTCCATCAACGAGTCACTGAAACGTAATGTACCAGTCAAAATCCACTTTCGACTGATTTTGATTGGCGATCCGAAGCGCAGCTAATGCTAACTATACACAATATACACTTTGTCAGGTGTTAGAGAGAGAGAGAGAGAGAGAGAGAGAGAGAGAGAGAGAGAGAAAAAAAAAGAAAAAAGAAAAAAGAAAAAAAGAACCTTCTTAACATCCATATCCAAATGTTCCTGATCGCCAGAATACTTGAGACTTCTAAAAGATTACTACTCCAAGAACCTGATTGATTCATTGTTGTCACACCTGGCCTGGAGGATAAAGCAAAGGAGCATCTGTGAGCATCATGTTATTCACAACAGATCCAGCAGCTACTCGTAACTCCTGTTTAGAAAACAACGTACACACATATCACATTGGATATAAGTTAAGTTGGTCAGCATAGCTACATACTAGAAGACTCAAAATAAATGAAAAATTATGTTGAGAGAAAAATTCAAGTTGTACCTTCAGATAGCTGAAGGCTTCCAAAGCCTCGCACTAAAAACTCGCAGAAATAAATAATTAATGTAACATTCCAAAACCAAACCCTACTTCCCTGATACAGTGAACAAGTTAAAGCTAGTGATACAGCTACTTTGTCTTCAGCTTAAATAGAGAGCAGATAGAATCTAAAATGGCTTGATGAAGACTACCTCTAACGTCATGAGCTTCAGTCTACGAAACCTAAGCAAATAACATGTTAGCTGATAAACTAATACAGAAACACAGTAATCCAAGAGCCTCACCTGTAATGCTTTCAAGCCAGTTGAACCCATCCCTTGCACAAAGGTCTGCAGGACATTGACCATGTAATAAATCATGTAAAATTTCTCCTACCCATTATCAGCTACTTGCAACTACTCTTATTCTTTCGTTCATGTATTGCAGGAGAGAACCGCAGCACAGAAATAACATGCAAAGTAAAGAAGACGTGAATTCGACTCCTATATCAGTCCAACTGTCTAAACCATATATTACAATACTTGTGGATAGATTCTCTAAAATTGAGAAAACACCATACTCTAGAAGTTCAAAATAAGAGAACTGCCAAGGGATCCTACCTCTAAGTCGTAAATGAAGCCCTCCATTGAGCGATAAGGAGGATAAACAATGAGCTCAAACTCTAATGCCTGCATGCAGAAGGAGTATACATCAACACAAACCCTAAATTTACAAGTTTCGATTCTACTCTAAGCAAGAAATAATTAAGAATACGCTCTGAAACAAACTTCAAGGTAAGAGGACTAGCAATGAAGCTTCATGACATACGCACGCTCAGCGAGAACATGAAAGATTTATTTCCTAATAAAATGAAACAAATTTATTCGTGATATCAGATACAATTTCGCTTAGAGCCTGATAGTAGTTTTCACTAACCAAACCTCATGTAACGATTGACACACACAAGACCTACAGGAGGAACATACTTGTAACACAATCATCTCATTCTTGAGAACCACTTGTGGATCTTGTTGAATACCCTTTCCCAATTCCTCAGCAGAAACATGGGACTCCTCTACCTTACATGCCAAGTATATACACGTGAGCCTGCCAACAAGGCATAATATTCCTACTCAGAAATAGTGTAACATTTGAAAAGGAATATGAAGGTAGTCAAGCAATATCCACAGCGACTGTATATAAAAAGAAGTAGAGAAAGAATGATTATTAGTGTGTCAACTACCGAATTTCTGATTTGACAAGCTTTTGAAACTATTTTAGCGCAAGGCTTCGCATGCTGATGCAATCAACCCACGCAAGTTGACTGAAATACAAGAGGTGAGGCGTAACCATACAGGATATTCTTGTGGTCGTGCTCCATGATAGACCATTGTAGATAAAATCTCTTGAAGTATATTATAGCTGTTGCCTGTAGGATGAGTTTCCCAGATCGGCATGAAATACACATGTCAAAGCAGTTAAGGTGGCGTTCATGGCATTTGGAGGTATAATGTGCTTGTTAAATAAGTAGTAAAATTCGCGTCCAGGCCATGTTGAATTGAGAATCTAAAAATAATATCCAAGAAATCCTCAATACGTGGGACTACTACTAAATCCGAAATATTAGTCCATACAAGTAAACCTACCTGAATTTTGTTTGGAAGTCTTAAAGCTGCACAAACTTCCTGAATTTTACCCTCATAGTATCTTTTAACAAGAAGCTCCTCTTCAATGGATAGATGCTCTGGTAAAGATTCTCTCCTTCCTGAAGAGGCCAGTAGGTCATGTAGAAGGTTAAGCACTTGTAGTACAAGCCAGGAGAAAACGGACACATTTTCTGCATCTCAAGCACACATAAACAATAATTAAGGGAACCGTGCAGACCATTTTCTCCTCCTCCAGAACCACCGGGGTATATCAAGCTCCCATCGGATTGAATTTCAACTCTAGTTGCGCCACACTGCCATCACTGCATCGTTATGATTGCTAATACATGCATCAAACTACTCAAGAATTTCAGAAAAAACCTTAATTGTAATAGACACCAAGCACATACATGGAAATTGATATAAAAGAGGAGTCTTTAAATGACAACACTTGTCGACACTGAGAAAGAGCACAGCGGGTCGAAAGCAGTTAACCTTCTGCAGAGCATCCACTGCTCGTTGATTTGCAGCTTCATACTTTCTAGTCTGAGAACACAGACAAGTAGGAGTCTGAGTATATAAATCCCGATGGTGACACAATCTAAAATTAAAAAACAGTCCAAGTTCCAAATTGACGTCGAATTACTCCATGAGGGAGGCTAGGTCCTGCTATCAGAGCCTTTCGAGCTTAGAATCACAATAGAAATCCCTCGAAAACATGACTGAAGGCAGCCGGTAACACTCTACAACGCCATCATAAAACAAATGAAACAGAAAGGCAAAATGATAATCGCGAGGCTGTGCTCCATTTGCACGATGAAAACCTCAAACATGAACACGTCGACTGCTGCAAAATCCCTGTCTCTTGAATTACTTAGAAATTAACCACCGACAAGAGAAGGTGACTAGGCGCGTTTCCATCAATTTATCCAGTGTCCCCTCATTCAATTCCCTCTTTAACCAAAAAATTAAATAGCGACTGAAAGAACCAAAAATCAAACCGCTGCCTAATTACCTCAATTACATGCTAAGTTCCTGCGCACATCACTCGATTGCAATCCCATCCTGCCACCACACCAACACCAGACAACTTCATTGCATAGAACTCGATCAAGACAATGTAGCGATAACGATACCAAGTCATGAGGATTGAGGATCCACCGCTTCCGGTGCGAGGACGTCGTGAAATCTGCCATCGCCGCTCACTCTCCGCTCCACCACCTCCCTCCCTCCGCTTCCCTTTCCTTCCCTTAAATGCTTCACTCAAATTGTAACCAACTTCGAAGACAAGAAGCCTCACGTGCGCAGCAAAAAAGTGCGTTCAGGTGATAATAGCCGGGGGAGGAATTCAAACCCGCAACAAGACGGGATTATATTGCCGTTTACAGAATGCGACGAAGGAGGAGGAGGAGGAGAAGGGAATGGGTTCTCGCCATCTCCTTCCCCGAGACGACGACGGGTTTTATATTGGAAAACGCGCTACTCTGCTCTGAATATATGAATGAAATTACGAACTAACGAATTTATGAACGAACGTAATCGCAAACAAACGAATGAACTATCCCAGGTGACAACAATCGGAACAGGGTAATTATTTGTTGCCACGCCGCAAACTCTTACGAATTGTTTAGTACGGTAACTCCAGCGACCCGGTAAAAGTGTTTCACTGCGAAAAGAAGGCGACGGATTCTTCCCGACCGTGTCAAAAAAGCTTAGAAGAAGGCTACAGTTCCACAGTGGAATCTCGTCAGGCTTCACCAATGATTATGCCCCAGAATGGTACCCCTTACCGTGAATTACGCTCTCCTCGTAAGGCCCGGTGATGGGGTGGCCTGTAAGGAGACGCACCCCAGCAGCAGCATCGTTGAAATGGAAGTCCACGCGACGCGTTTTCATTCGAAGGGCCGATTATCACACTCACTGTCCTCCGCCGTCTTACGACGACCACTGCGACTACTATTACTACGACTACCCTCATCTAGCACCAGCCAGTTCCTTCAGATCCATATCCGCGCCCTCCTACGCTACCTGAAGTGTGCTTTTCTGAATGGTTAGCGCCTCCCGCTGTGTCGACAGTTTTTTGTTTTTTTTCATTGTGGTCTTAGAAAATCGGTTCGGGTGTCGATGTTTTGTTAGATTCATGTCGGAAGATTTTGGAAATTGGTGGTTTTGTTTAGGTTTTTTCTCCAGGGTCGACGTCTCACTTGAGTTGATTCATTCCCGCGTCGAATTTTTGTTTGTGTTCTGAAGTCGGTTTCGTGCTCCGCTTGTTGCTGGCTATGTGTGCGGGGGTAGATGTTAACGATTTCGTAAGGATTTTTGGCTGAGTTCTATGTTAGGGTTTCGCAGGTTCTTGAGTGCTTTGCGTGGGAAAGCTTGGGGAGGTTCCTTTTGAGGTGAGGATTGCTGTTGGATTGCCGAGGGCTGCTGAATACGGCGTAATCATACGTGGAGAAAGACGAATTTGGATTTTTTTGATTATTGGGCGTCGAAGCTGCTGTGAATTTGCACACTATCGCAGGCACCTAGTGGGAGGATCACCGTGGAACGTTCAAGATTGTAGTTTCTGCAGAGCGAAGCACGTGGGTACCACGTTTTGAGGGCTTCTTTTGGATTGTGAAAGGAGCTTTGTGGTTGGTTGCGGTTGATCATAATGGATGGGGAGCCTGATGAAATGCGAAGTTTAGGGGTTGTAGGGATATGCAAGGAGGTTTTCAATCTCTTGCGATCTCATCTGCGTCTTTTCGTTTCATTAGCCTTTACTCTGGTGCTGCCGTTGGGGCTCGTGATATTCTGTCATACCTTGGTTTCCGATCCTTTGATGAACAAGATTGGCCGAAATGAAAATGAAAAGGCGACGGAAATACCTGGCTCTCCAGCAGCAGTCCGCACCCAGAATCGCCTGGATGCCGAGTTTTTTGCACTTGCTATCATAACCATCCTCTATTTTGTATTTGTGTTAGCCTTTTCTCTCCTCTCAACTGCAGCTATCGTATACAGTGTAGCTTGCATCTACACAGCCAAAGGATTGTCCTATGCGAAGGTGATTAGCGTGGTTCCCAGGGTCTGGAAGCGCCTGTTATTCACATTTCTGTGGGCCAACGTACTGATTTTCTTGTACTACGTCGCCCTCTTTTTTATTTTCGTCATCCTGTTATTTTTATCAGCGATCCTCAACGTGAATTTGCTTATATTATTTATACCTGTAGTTATCCTCTTCTACTGCCTGTTGATATACTTCAACTTGGTGTGGCACCTTGCGAGCGTCATCTCTGTTCTAGAGGAGAGTTACGGCATCGGCGCGCTAAAGAAAAGCGCGGAACTCATCAAGGGCAAGCGGAGAGTTGCATGCGTGGTGTTCGTCGTCTATGGAATGTGTACCATCTTCGTGGTGTCTCTGTTCAACATCTTCGTTAATTCTAATGATCATGTCAACAACTACTTCGGAAGGTTCTTCTTCGGATTGTTCCTCTTGTTGCTGTGGACGTGTGTGCATCTGATCGGCATTTTGATTCAAACAGTTGTGTATTTTGTTTGCAAGTCCTATCACAACGAGAACATCGATCGGTATGCACTTTCCGAACATCTTGATGGTTACTTAGGAGAGTATGTGCCTCTCAAGGGCCCTGTTTCACTGGAAGCCCTGGAAGCTGAGTTAGAAGATAGGTAAGAGTTTAGCTACCTATTTATTGTTTAGTTAAATAGTATCGAGGTCGGGCTCTGGATTTATGGTGTGAAAGACATACCGACATTAGTTGTGCACTATCAGCCTGTTGTTCAGTTAGCTGTAGACTGTGTTGATTATGGAATGGAATTGTAAATGGATGCAAGGTGGTTAGAATGATCATGCTGCCTTCAAGAGAGACGTAATCATGTCAACCAATATTTTTGGTTACAGGTTCATTTTAGTCTCACGTGTTTATAGAATCTATATGTAGTCATGACTAAGATCCACTGTAGCATGAGATGTGTAGCTGGATACAGCTAGAAAATTGGTACTTCATGAATTGGGCCATGGTTTGAGTTCTGAGCAGCATTCATACACGCTTGCTGAATTGCTGTGAATTAATGATCCACTTCTAGCTGTTTCTATTCAGAGTTGAGGAATTCTTATATATTGGGATTTGAAGTAGTCGGTACCAGCTGAGGTGATACAAGAAAGACCAAGTATTGTAAGCAAATTTTGGGTGACATGCATTCACAACTTCGACGTGATGCTGAACCCATCTCATTTGACTAGTTTGGTTCTCCTTTGGCAAATAGTTCGGGAACTATGTCTATTAAGTATGAGATTGGTTATTGGGTAGATATATATATATATATATATGTAAAAGATCTGTTGCTAAAAACACCAGTTTAGTATTTTAATCAGCCATACTTGTATTTTGCCAAATTTTCTATTTAACATGTTTCAACACTGAAGTTTTAGTGTTGCTTGATTACTTATCTTGTGCATGAAACATGTTTCAATAGAGTATTCAAATTTGCCACATCTATAAAAATTATTATTTTTTACATCACTTCTAGTGCTACTTTTAGGAATAACGTAACTCATTTTATTACTGCAAAACTCTTAGTTGAGACTGTTGCTTTGTCTTTTACCTTGAGATATTCTTGCTAAAACTAATCAGTTTCTTCTTGTTTTAACAGAAAAATTATAAAAGAGTAGAATTCATTTCTTTATTTATTTATTTATTTATTTTTTCCAATTTGGCTTGCTTAAGTAATTTTTCTATCTTCAAAAAAAAATCATATCATCTTTCAAAGGTTGAAGAAATTTAATCAAGGCCTCTAAGATATATTCTTGCAATCTAATTTAAAACATATACCTTTTGTATATCTATACAAATCTATAATAAAACATTCATTTGTATATAAGCATCTAACATATGAATGGAGAGATTCCATGTATATGTGATGTACTAATAACATGACTTTTCTACCTTGGTATTCAAGCATGAATTTCTTTCAAAGCACCTTTTTAAACCAAACCTCTTGTATGATTGCTACATACATCACTTGTTTACAATTAAATAGTCTACAATTAAATAGTCTACAATTAAAAGACATCTTCTTTGAAAAATGTGGTTGTAATTTGGAAGTTTTTGAGCTTATTAATGTTGCATAATACAATAGGTATACTTTACAAATAATAATATTTCTAGCTATTGCCTTTCTTAATACTTATAAAGTTTTTTCATTTATTTATTTATTTATTTTTAAAATGTATTAAAAAGGAGCATGATGTTATTATTATTTTTATTATTTCTAAAATTTTAAATCAACTTAATTTATAAAATTAAAATTCTTTTATTTTTCTTAAATTCTCAAGTAATCAATACCAAGAATTAAAACATATTCAATAAAAAAAACATATCTAATTTTCGGTAAACTAATCTTTTAAAATCTCATGATAAAGAAAATTTAAAATACAACCTTCCCAATGGGTATTCTTCTAAGTTCAAGTATTTTCTACAATGTAAATTAACAACATTTATTCTTCCTATTTTTCAAAATATAGAATCATCTACATATTCTTAATTATAGAGCATATAGGATTTTTTAGAATACAAATACATATTATTTTTCAAGATTATTATTCTTTTAAGCTTTATGAAAATAGTTCAAAATACATTTAATTACCAAATTTTCTAATCACTGTTTATGCAATTCTAAAATGTGTTTGCCCAAATTTTGTTCCTATATTATTAGAAATATCACTTGAGACATCACAATAATTAAACAAATTTAGATTTACTAAGTTTGACTTTTAGATTGTACAGATGTCAACAACTATAAAAACTTGCAGTATATATTTTTGAATATAGCAAGTATTTTTTATTAACAAAAATTATTATTTTTAGAATTACAAAAAAATGAAATTCTTCCTTCCAATACTATTCAAAAGATTTAGTTGTGGCATCTACTTCTTCCTCTTTCTCTTTTTATATCTTATTTTCTTTGACTTCTTTTAATGAGATACTAGAAAAGTTTTTATAATATTTTCTAAAAATATTACTATCTGGCAAATTTTAAATAGCCTTCTAGCTTTTAATAAGCTAGTATTCTTTATCTTTTGCACCAATTCAGGCAAGAATGTTGTCTATGTAAAACATTATATTTATGTTTTATTCAATTTTTAGATGTATTTTTAATAAAATAGAATAATAGAGTTTTATTGACTATACGACTAAGTTTACTGAATAAAACGTGTAAAGTAGATCAATGATAGTATTTCAAAGTTACAACATTAAAATACTAATATAAATTAGTAGAAAAAATTATGTGTATTGGTTTTAGCAAGTTTGAATATTAATAAGAAGCTGAGGTTTTTTAATTCAATTCTATGATAGCAAAGAAAAAGAAGAAGGTAGCAAAAAATAGAGGAAAAGATAGAAGAAGATGAGAAAGAGATAAAGAAAAAAAAGAGCAAAAGAAGTATAACTTTTATACTAGCTTTGTCAAAGATATAGAATTTTTAATTAATAACTTGTACTTCTTATGATTTCCTTTCTACAGTTTTTTTGTTGCAATTTTTATATTGTTATTTGGAAAATATGGGCTTGATGATCAATCACAATGACTCTATTGCAAAAAACTTAATAGAAATAATTATCAAAATGCAATAGAAGTCACTATTGTTGTACCATTTTAATATATATATATATATATATATATATATATATAATCTATAGAATTGAATTTGAATAGGAAGCTTTAATAGTAAATTTATCCATTATTATAAAAAATTCTTTATTTCTTGGATAATATAGTTTTGACTACAAAAAGAATTTGAAATTTATTATTTAAAAAATTATTAAAATTTATTAATAGATGAGACAAAGATTAGTATTTATAAAAAATAATTAAATATAATAATAATAATAATAATAATATAGCAAAAAATTCTTTGTAGAATGATACAATGAATATATAAAATAGTTGCAAAAGATTCTTGAGAGTTTATGTGTATGCTTTAGAAATGTTTAAATAAAATTTATTGGTTCTTTTATTAAGTCCAGTATCTTTCATATATAAATTTAAGACCTTATAAATGAATGAGATTGTACTTTTGAAGGCAAAATTTTTAATTATCATTTGATTAGGTAAAGAAACAATCCTACAAATTATCAATATTAATATGTATTATCTAATATAGTAATCTTTACTGTATTATATATTTTTAATATTAATAAAAATTATATAATATCAAAATTTAGAAATTCTTAGGAAGAAAATTAAGAAAAATAATAGAATGTCAAAAGTGAAATAAAAATTATTAAGATGTATATAAGGCATCTATGACACTAAAAAGAATAAAGAATTAAATATCATGCATGTAGAAGTATTTTGAAGATTTTTATTTTTACAAATGCTATTAAATATATATATGTAAAACAAATGCCAGTAAAATAAAACATTAATACAAAAAATAAGAAAAAATTGTAGAGATGGTTTTTTATGCTACTTAGAGTTTTACTACTTTATACCTAAAAAAACTACCTTTGTATAATTTTTCTAAAATCAAAAAATATTAATGTAAAAATATCAAAGTTTATTACAATATTTACACATTAAAATTTATAATTTTATTTAGAAGCTGTTTTAAATTTTAAAATAAATTATTTTAATACATCATATATAAAATAGATATGAAACCATTGTTATGAAGAATAAAGTAAAAATTTATTTATTTAATATAAATAAGAAAAAAATCCATAAGAATAATATATATATATATATATATATATATATATATATTTATAAAAATAATATAGAATAATAATTATGGCTATCATATATGTATGTAAAAGAAAAAGAAAGATGTGCTAAGATTTATATTATAAAGTGATATTTTTCTTAAAAGAACTAAAATTTTAAATTAAATGAAATTTACCAGTTAGGAGATAATTGTCATAATCCACTCTAGTATTGGTTGGCATCCTTCTCCAACCTTCATGCCAAGCTCTAAGTGTCTTTTATTCATTGTTGAATTACTCTCAACTTTCTCACAAATGTTGGAAATCAAATTTTCTACTAGTCTACTAAACTTTATTTCAATTCAACTAAAAATTTGTTGTAAATCTTGGATAATCTATATGGCCTTAAAAATCCAATTTCTAAGACTCAAATCTACTTGAATTTCAATTATCTTTAATTTAATTTTCTAATAAAGATAAATCTTATAACTCATATTTAACACAACTGTGTTCACAAATTTATACATTTTCATCTATAGATGTACTACAAAGCTTATAAAATTTATCAAAATATAAATCTTTTTTCATTTCATAAAAACCAAAGTTATCCAGAAGAATCTTGACTTTGCAAAGCTCTTACAAAAATATTATAATCTCAAATTATCTAAAATTAAGACTCAAATAAGCTCTTTTAAATCTTATCTTAAATCTTATTTTCCAATCAACCAAAATGAAAAGCTTGCAATAGGTATAGGTTTGTGGTTTTGTGTCTTGGAGTTTGATTTCACCTCCAAATATTAGAATTTAGTATTTTTAGGTAATTTTTGCTAAGAGCTATTATTTACTTTTATTTGAAGTTATCTATGATACTTATTTTTTTAATCTATCTTATTTTATCTTTTTATGGCCCTATAAAGTAATTAGAAGGTTTTTTATAAAAAATTAGTATAAGCATTTATAATTTTTATTACCACTTTAACTTCTATTTATATTTATAAGATATTTTATTATATTATTTTAAAATAAGATATTCTATAATATAATATTTACATCTCTTTTCACATAATAGCTATGTTATAGCACAATATTGATATTTATAATTAAATATAAATTTAAATAGTATATATTTTAAATTTATATAATATATTCTATTAACAAAATAATATTCTATGACTATTTTTAGAAGCAAAGGCAATGATTATTGGAAGCCAGACATGTTATAAAGTTAATACTAGGATCATTACTTGTAGGCAATTTTTTTTATAGTTGATTGTTAAAATAAAATTTGAATTAGTTAATCCTTTCACAAATTATATTTTGCAAGAGTACTTTTATAAATATGCATCAAACCATCAACAAAATATATATATATATATATATATATATATATATATATATTTTATGTTCTTTTTTTATATGTCTATATTGTTGAATAAAAAAATATCACTTTGTAATTTATTATATAAGTTTATATTTAGAGCCAATTCTTTTGTAGTTGTAGAAAGATGTCTATTATATGTATTACAATTCTATCTATAC